TAGGGGGGGGGAGGGGTAGAGGGTTTTTTTCTCAGTATTATTCACAACATATATAAATCGACTCAGTTTTTGCAGTACACATAACAATCGGATGCAAATCCGATGTTTCCGCATTTATTACTATTTTGAGGCCGTTTTCTAATAACTTTCACTGGCGTAAAGCTAGTATGACCGTTGAAATCTTAAAGAAACAGAAAATTAATTTGTTAATAATAGTGAAAATATCATTTATGTCTCTTGAGAGAGATTATTATGATACTGGCGTCACTCGAATTGTTTATTTCTGTAATATAATAATATACCACTATGACAAACAATTCAAAGGGTTTATTTGATTAAATATTGTTCACGCCCGATCTAAAAATAACCGTCCACCATTATATGATGTTCTTTTTTTAATATTTTACAAAGGGTATCATTGTTTACCATGCTTTTTTAGACAGATTCCTAAACAACAAAGTTGTTCATGTGTATACTCATTGAAAATCCTTGTAATAAAATCATTAAATGTTTAACTGAATTTCATATTAGAAGTTTTTATTTTATATCAAAGTAATTTACTTCTCATTTATTAGTACTATTTGTAAATGTTTTTAAAGTGCATAAATAATATAAAAACGCAAAATAAATCATGACGACGTTTCATCGTACATTTTTTTCAGAGAATAGCCGTAGATCATCGTTACATGACTCGAATAAAAATGAGCTGCTTGCTTAGAAAGCAAATAAAAACGAGAAATAAAATACAAGTCGCTATCATGACTATTCTGGAATAGTTCGATGGAATTCTGGATGATTACCTAAATTATCCAAAAACACATGTGGTTTAATTATACTTTCACAAATAAGATGAGTATCACGAAAAAGTGGAAATCGATCTAATAGATTTCGAGCATGAAGATAACGATAAACTTCCTTTGCTGTACTTGGACCTTGCAGTGATTGTCCATTAAAATCTTTTTTTTCAATATATGCTAATGAATCTTTTGTTTGGACCATTGTTTTTGCACCTCTATAATTTCTTCCACCTAATGATGATGCTATTAAATCAGCTATACCACATGATTGTAAATAAATTTCTGATGTTGATTCTTTTTTATATAGACGACAAAAATTAATCATTTCAACAAAACCCAAACGAAGAATCTAAATAAAATAGAAAATATTCTTTGAACTATTCATAAAATAAAATACTACAGCTGCTCGTGTATTGAAACCGGCATCTAAACCTTCAGCAAAACCAGCTAACATTGAAACAATATTTTTTAAACCACCAAGCATTTCGATAATTTCAACATCGGGAAAAAAACGTAAACGAAAAACAGGTGTATCAATTAATTGCCGAATTATTTCACTATGTTTATCATCACGACATCCTACTGTTGCTTCACAGAAGATTTTTTTAGCTACTTCATTAGCAATATTAGCTAATTAAATAAATAAATGCAAGTATATTTTTAATTAATATCTATCAACAAACCTCCCATCATACTTGCACATGGAATGTTTAATGTATTTTTAATAATTTGTGAAACAAGTGTAAGTTCTTTGGTTTGTTCATCAACATAAAATCCCTGAAAATAAAAACAATCAATAGAAAATGAAAGCAACGTTAATATTATTTCCTAACTTTAATTAATGTTAAAGCAAATGCATCCTTTTTTATGTTGTTTTTCAATTGCTCACAAATATTTTTGACATATTGATGTGGTACAACAAAAATAATTATATCCGCATCTTTAACTGCTATATCAAGGTCAGGTATAGCAATAATATTTTCAGGAATTTTTCGATCTGGTAAATATTTGATATTTTCGTGTTGTTGATTTATCACTTCTGTTAATTTTCTACCATCATCTAATATTTCTTCTTTGCACCACATTAATATTTGTTCATGATATTGACCATTTAATTGACGAACTTTGTCACCGATATGGCAAGCGCTTTATTAAATCGAATAAAAAAATTTCAAAAGAAACTTAGTATATAAAACTCACATGGCACTTCCCCAATTACCCGAACCAACAAATGCAATTTTTTTCTTAGCCAATGACGATGATGCCATCCTGTATACATTTTGTACTGGAAAAAGATAATCAAAGCACAGACTGATTATAACTAGTTTCAATATAGAAAACTTACCATACGAAAAATGATGCCTATTTTTCCTTAGAAAATCAAAATGTAAATGTAATACACGAGCGAAAAACATCTAAAAATGCACTTTAATAACATGCTCATTTCATTTTATTTTATTTTTCAACAATTACACATAGCTGTTAACTTTTTTTTTTAAGTTGTTGACACATGATTTTTGCTAGTTTCTTTAAGAATAATGACAAATAGTGAATATTTAGATCGAAGAAAACAAAAAATAGTTTAAATTTTCAATAAAAAGAAACAATTAATAATCAATTTACAACAACGAAGAAGTGTTACATATGATAAATATTTATTGTTAATTTAATCTTTGACGAATGTTATTTATATTAAATCCACGTAAAATCAGTGTATATATTACCATTCCAATCAGAAGTACATAACCAATAACAATTGATATTGAATAAGTTGGTGTAGATTTTCGATTTAATAATGTCTAAAATGTTTTAACATCTATTAATAGAGTTCAATGAAAACAAAAGTAAAATAATTACCATGCAAGAAAAAAGCATATGGGTAAGAACAACAATTGCAGGACCAATAATTCTATGCATGCCACCTTTATCAAGTGACGTATAGAAAATGACACCCCAAAATGTATTTAATAGAATGATACATAATGCGAGAAATGCTAAAAGATATACGTATATTCAATAGTAATTCATTGATATCTTAAACTATGAGAGTCAATAAGAATTTTTTTTTCTTTGGTTTACAAAATAAGAAGTACATGAGACTAAAAGGCTGCTTGTTACATTAGATTGAGAAAATGTTCTAAATCTAGTGTATATGAACATAATAGTTATCTAGTGTTCAAATCAGTAAGGAGACCAAATATTTTACTACTTGCTCCTAGATATATATGGTGCTCTAATACTTAACAAGGATATTTCAAAAATCACTAATCAAATACATTTTGTATTCATAATGTCGACTGAATCTCAAACATATGACATAGAGCACTTAAACATTGACAAATAACCGATTTAATGAACATATTCTTCGAATACGAAATGAATATGACATCATTTACTGAAGGCTTTCGCTGAAATAGCAATGGTGTACAGGATATCATATGATGAGATTGAAATTCCTACATGAACTCAGAAACAAAAACAGTGATCGTCTTTATCTGGTAATCAATCATAGAGAACTAGATTTGACTAAATAATAATTACAATTTTGAAATAACTTTTATCTTAGTGTATATTTCTGCTTTGAATCGAATGAGAAATGAGAAAAAGATATCCTATTCGATCTTAATGTTGTACCTGTAGCAATAAAAAAGTCTGGTGAATGTCCAAAAATACCAATGGTACCAGGACCTGTCATATCACTTAGTACATTGACAATAGCAAATGTTCCACTAATTAAACCAAAACCATATCCTGAAGCTTAACGACAAAGAAACAAGAAAATTTAGTTTGAAATCATAATAAAATAATTTTACCATAAGCAACAGCAAATCGATCAAATACCATTCCTTTAGCTGTTAATTCTTGCATTTGCGCTTTTTGTAAAGCAAATTCAGCTTTTCTTAATAGAGAATAACAGCTATACTATAGATCATATCCAATGAAATCCTCACTTGATCAAACGATAAAATAAATATCGAAATATTTCCTGAAATAACACAGTAAATGGAACTGCGAAAGCAAGTTGATTACGCAATGGTACAACAGCAAACCAAAGAAGCGATGATAAAAGTAATGATATAAGCCAAAAAAATGCACTAGAAAAAATTATGATGATATTAATAGGAAAAAATCGTATGTCTATAGAAATCTTTTCCTACCTTGTCATCGCAATTATGATGCGAAATGGATGATGTGCAATGGTAAATACAAACATTGAAAATGGCACACCAAATGCAATCAATGTGCAACCAGCACATTCTATAATCGTCATTTTTGTTTTATTCTCAGTTAGTTACTCTACTGTTTTATCTAAAATGATATCTTCCTAGGATTCTTATAATCATCAAATCAACAATGAATGGATTTATCAGATTTTATATCTGTATTTTAAATAGGAAAATAAAAACGTTAGGCTGTAACAACATTATCAACAGATCCAGATTCCACTAAATGCTTCATACGTTCAAACCATGGTTGAATTTTTGTATTAGACATAAGATCTTGAAATGCTTCACAACCTTGAATTGCTGTTAAAACTCCGTAAACATTTAAATCAGCAAGATTTGGTTCAGATCCACCTAGAATTAAAAAATGATAATACATCATTAAGTAGCATATCCTTTATTTTAGTAAATACAATGTTATGCAAAATCGAAGTTTCTTTTCGTAAGATAAATTCTTATGAATTGATACATGTTTAAAGAAAGCATGCATCATTAATAGAGTAGCTGAAAGGCATAAGATTATGAATTGTGATGTTATTAGATCAGTGAGATTCATTAACGTCTATTAAAATATCTACCATATCTTGATCTTTACCGATCAATACAACAAAGGAATATAATTAGCATATAGATAGTTTTTTTATGCATAGAAATGCGACTGTAAAATGAACTTCAAATATTTTATGTAACCGTATAATTCGGAAAAAAAAGCTTTAATTGGACATTATAATTCATATGGAATACTATTATCAACACTGATGACCATTGGCTATTTTTTATTCTTAAAAATAGAAATCTCAACAAAACCAGTTAAAGTAAAAATCTTTCATAGTTCCGGTTCTATTCAATTGCCGACTGAATAGCTATTGGCTGGACTTAAGCTATTTTTAGAATACAGACTCGTTTCTATTTGAAGAATATAAAATCATTCTTTGGATGGCTATTACAATAATATTCATTGGTTATTAAATTAAACTGTATCTTACCAAGAAAATCTTTATTTCCAACTGCTTTAACCCATTCATTTGCATATTCATATAAAGAAAGTCTAACATTATCATTTAAATTGTATTTGCTTTTTAGTCGTCCAGCTACGACTCGCATAACAATAGCACCAATATAAACAATAATCCAACGTTGATACCATGGGAAAATCTGTTCCCAATCTCCGGCTTTTGAAAACCATAAAAATGTGTTGAGTGATTGTTTAAAAGTACAATAAATATTTGGTGATAATGTGTGAACAAATTTTGTATCAACCCACTCACGCCATTGGCGTTCTAATTTATACTGATCACTTGATTTAACATATGAAACTTTTGTTGTAGTTTCATTTTCTAGACTATTACTTGTTGAAGTTTGTTCATTTTCAGATTTTGATTTTGAAAAAAATTTAGCTAAAAATATAAAATCAAATAGTTCGGAGCTTTTCTTTCTCTTATTTAATTACCGAAAAATGATTTTGAAGGTTCGTTATTCTGTGTCTGTTTCACTTTATTGTCTATCGCATCATTTTTTGTTTTTTCTGTTTGTACTTGTTTGGTTGGATCTAATTGGTCATCTAGTAATGGTTCAACAAGAAAATATTTATTTGGATAACTAAATGATAGTTTTCCCTTGTCATCTTTTTCAATAATTGATTGATATAATTTTGATACGTTTTTAAATGCTTTTGTTGGCATACGTGAATATGATTCGATAGCTGATATAATCACACTTGAATCATTCAATTGAATTTGCTCATTTTCAATAACAACAATCGGTACTTTTTTATATGTCGACCATTTAGTTTCTGAACGCATCACACTATTGACTTCAACAATATCATATGGTATACGATTATAATTCAAATATGCACGGACTTTACAACAGAACGGACTATGAAGAAAAAATAAAGTAGTAGTTTAATCGAAAAATTGTTCAAATGAAAATACAAACTAACCATGTCACATATTGATAGAGTGTTATTTTAAATGGAAAATCTTCTCTTGGTGGCTTACTGAACGTAACATGTTTCGTAACTGGTGGCGGCAATGGTCGGGCTTCCATTGCTTGACGTTCAAGTAATTCAGTATTTGATAGGTATTCAGGCATAAGACCTTCGTATTTTTTCGATTGACGAAGTGTATAAGCTGTGCCAATTAATGCTCCAGCAGCAATTGATAAAAGATAATAACGATATTGACGTCCGGGACGAGACGATGATGGATAATCACCTTTTAAATCTTGTCTTTTAATTTGATGAATATCAGTATTAATTTGAGTTGATACAAGTCGAGAACTACGTAAGAGAAGATGTTGTCGAGAGAAAGAACATTGAAATGTTCTAGTAGCAGAGATGAGTAGACGACTCATGTTTGTCTTTTACTTGAAAGAAGAATAGGTAGTGTCTTTGAAAAGATCGTACTTATTAATGAAATAATAACATTGACCAACAGAACCAACATTGAAAAAGATGTCGCACATTTACCCTAAAGATCTTTTATGTAGTAGAATGAAAATTATTCTTATATTTAAATTGATTATGTATTATTTAATTTATTGTCTTGTCAAAAAAAAAAACTCTGAATAATTACAAATGAATCAGTCATTATTATCGATCACATCTACCACTATAAGCGTATTACTTTACTTGAAGTACTATTAGTAATTGAATTGAATGTGACGATATAATCCCTGGCTAACACAATGTATTGCAATATTTTTATTTATCGTTCTAAATATCGAAAAATATTCCAATGAGTAATTGATTTCTTTCATTTTATTTCCAACAAATTTCGCAGCCTATAAATGAAAAAGGAAAAGAAAATATGATATGGCCCTATTGACATAGAGAATTTAAACAAAGATTTATCAAATTGTAATTTAGAATAGATCAGAGGTTCAAAAAGATTAAAAAGCATTCTAGTAACATATGCTCTTCTTACAAATAAATAAAAAAAAACACCCTAGATCAATATCTTCTTAATCTTCGAAAGGTGTATATTTTCTTAATGAAACAGATAATTATAATATATGATCAATATGAATCTATAAAAGGAAGATGAATTTCAATCGATTTGAACTTCATTTCTATTGAAAACATAAAGGTTTCAAGTTTCAAACGAAGTAAACATATTTCAAGGTAAGAAAATCGTCTGCAGTTTCAACTGTTTTTCTCGACAAATATGAATATTCATTACAAATAAATAATAGATCAGCTTTTTATGATTTAATGACATGAGTTGAATCCTTGGTATCATAATCGAAGAATAAACTAAGACTTTTTCGATAGAAATTCTCTATAGGTATCAATTGGAGATGTAGAATATTCCAGGTAAATAGATGAGGATAAGAAATATGTGCTCTATTCCGAATATAATCTCTGAAAATCTCAACTTGCTATTATTCAAGAGTACTGAGAGAAGCTCAACAAAAACAAAATCTGAAAAATGGATTTTTCCGAGAAACATTTCTCATAGATTTTATTTTATTCTCATAATAGAAATTCGAAACTATATGTTGAAATTTTAGTCTATATATCAGTGTATAGACCAAAATTATTACTTAGCCAGTTTGTATTCTTGAGTTCTTTCTTTTTCAATAAAACATGGAAACTCATGTTTTTCTATCATCTTTTCGTGAAGACTGCTTACAGATCTACTTCAGTGAAAATCGATTTGTTTGTTATCTGAAGCAACTTTACAAAACCTGGCAGTTGCAAGGGTTCTTTACTACAATCGAACAAAAAATTCGTACAACATGCTTTAGATCGTTGTTGTTACTATCATGTAATTGTAGTACTAAACCATAGTATTTCACACATCGTAAGAAGTTGCAATTAAATCAAAACTAAGCAAAATATTTTTCAGAATTTTCTGTACGAATGATCATGTTCTGAGAAATCCTTCTGCTTTAAAAAAATGACACTTGCTAAGCAAGATGGATTCATTTTTAGTTTACACACAAGCGATAACAGTGAAGCAAACAAATGTCATGTATTAGCTGGAATTTTTTTAAAATTTTGTTTAGTCGTAGGTAAAAGATAGATTGAATTCTGTGAATGTTGAATGAATATCTTTTATTCATTGCATCGATTATCATCTTGAAAAATTATTATTTGATAATATTGTAAACATGCACCATTCCTCACCGACTTGGATATCAGCTACAAATTGAATCTATTGCATGCCTAGCATAAATAATAATTAGTTATCATGAAACTAGAATCAGTAGCGATTAATATGAAAACACAGAATGTGCAATTGGCCAGTCGAAATAAATATTAGTGTATACGTTATATTCAGAATGAAAGAAAATTAATCGGTGAGTTAACATGATGCTAATAATTCTATAGTGATGACGTGTTTATTATGAAATATTCAGAATATTGAAATAGACAAATTAAAAAGAGAAAGAGAACCAAGAAATTTCGTGATGCATACATACATCCTATTATCAAATGATGTTAAAATTCGCTTCGATTATTGCTAGATGTCAAACAAAGGTTATTTTGATCTAAAGTCCATATAAACATTATTGAAAAGAAAAACTTTACCTATCGAAGATTATGGAATTACATGAAACCTTTACGTTTAATATTTTGATCATCGTGTCAGTGAATGTTTTTATTTCAAAGTCCAAAATATTTAATGCATCACTAAGAATAAGACTATTTAAGATGTTGATTATCGATCTCCGACACACAATAAACAACAAACTACAATGATAGAGAATAAATTATCACAAAATCAAATTATTCCTACTGATAAATGGAATTTACTTGTAGATAGTGTTAGTGGCAATAGAGAAAATCGATGGAAAGGTATTTCTTAGGAAATAAAATATTTCTGAATTTTATACGAAAATTTTCTTCTTAAGATTTGAATCCAGCAGCACGTGTAAAATATGTTTTATTCGTAATTGGCAAAATAATTGGCTTATTATTTTTGCTATATATTTTTGTTTGCTCCCTTGATGTAATGAGTTCAGCTTTTCGGCTGGTTGGAGGTAACTAAGATATTTGTAGAATTACTAAGAAATCATCTTTTTCCTTATAATCAGGTAAAATAACTGGTAAAGCATTCACAGAAGGTGCTATTCTTTCGAATCCTATTGGTGGTCTTATGCTTGGATTGTTAGCAACAGTCATTGTACAAAGTTCATCAACATCAACTTCAATTGTTGTCTCAATGGTTTCATCGTCGAGTATGAAATAAAACGCACTCAAAATTCAAATAAATATTTCATATATTTTTGTTTAAACATTAGTTCTGCCAGTTCGACGAGCTATTCCCATAATTATGGGTAAGAAACTTCTATTTTCAATATAAATATTATTTTATTCTTAATTGTACATTACTTTAGGTGCCAATATCGGTATGCTATCTGGCGTAACATAATGTTTCTTTATCATTTATATTTCTCTAAATGAAGGTACATCTGTAACTAATACAATCGTGGCATTAACACAATCTGTATGTAGAGATTAGTATTTTGAAATCTATCATTAATAAAATCTATTTTAGAACCGAAGAGATGAATTTCGAAGAGCTTTTGCTGGTGCAACTGTTCATGATATGTTCAACTGGGTGACAGTTCTTATTTTACTACCCTTAGAAATTATATCAGGTAAATGCTGCGAAAAGAAAAAATATTTAATTAGAAAACAAAATTGGATTAGGTTTACTGTTTCATTTAACTGGAGCAATTACTCGATCAATTAGTCTTGAACGACAAGCGAGTACAAATCCACAATTTCTTAATGTACTTACGAAACCATTAACACATCGAATAATTCAAGTAAGAAAATATCGACTGGCAATCATTTTAAATATTTCTGTTATTACAGTTAGATGAAAACGTCATTCAAAATATAGCACTTGGAACAGTTGAATCTAATGTTTCACTTATCAAACATTATTGTTCATATAATAATGTAACAACTGAGAATTCAACATCAATTTTAGTACCAAAAACATATTGTGAATTTTTATTTTCAAAAATTTCATGGCCTGATTGGGGCATTGGTCTTTTACTTCTATTTCTTTCAATAATTGCTCTCTGCACATGTCTTGTATTACTTGTGAAACTTCTTCAATCAATGCTCAAAGGAACAATCAGTACAGTTATACATAAAACAGTTAATGCTAATTTTCCTGGTGTTTTTCATCACTTAACACCATATTTAGCTATGGGAGTAATGAACACAATCAGAAATGAAGTGAATATATTTTTATTTTTATTTAGATTGGTTGTATATTTACAATACTGGTACAAAGTAGCTCAATATTTACATCTACTTTAACGCCACTTGTTGGTCTTGGAATAATTAGCATCGAACGAGTGTATCCATTTACATTGGGATCAAATATTGGTACAACAATTACAGGTATTATGGCAGCATTAACAGCAACAACAGCACTCGAACTTCGTAATTCATTGCAAATTGCTTTATGTCATACATTTTTTAACATCTTTGGTATGAATATTTGATATTAAGCTATTTATTTGAGATCTATTATTCTTTTTTCTTTCTTAGGAATTTTAATTTGGTTTCCGGTACCATTTATGCGTAATGTACCAATAGCATTAGCTAAAAAATTAGGCGAAACAACAGCTACGTATCGATGGTTTGCTATTGTTTATATCATAGGATCATTTTTTCTTATTCCTTTAATCATTTTTGCGATTTCTCTTGCTGGATGGTATATCATAGTTTTTCTTAAATTTCATTTTCTATGTTTTTTTACTTGGTTTTCTAGGCCTACGTTTATTGGTGTATTTGCTCCACTTTCATTCATTGCTTTATTCGTCATTATTATTAATTTTCTTCAAGTACATGTACCAAATGTTCTACCAAATCTATTACAAACATGGTCATGGTTACCACGATCATTTCGTACGTTGGCTTGGTATGATGAACATATTTTTCGTAGTAAAAAACAAATAACATTTTATAATGAAAATGAAGCAAAAGAATTATCAACAATAACCAATCGAAATATTGAAAATAATCACAGCCACGCGAACAAAGCATTTAATAATAATGATGACCTTGAAAAAATATCTGAAATCTGTACTTAACTCTAGTTCTTTTTTTATGTAGATTTATTTTATTTTGCTACGAAAGCAGCGCTTCTATTTCATTTTAGCATACTAGGTTAACTTGAATGTTGTGTTTTGCTGTTCGTTAGTTACAACGATATAAATATAAAAAGTATATTATTTATTGTACTCGTTAAAATTTTATATGATTGAGATCATCTAGCTAATGTCTAATGACGAAAATTCGAAAGATTAATTTGGGTTTTTGTTTCACTAATAAGATAGTTGATAAAAAAAAATGAGCAGGAGTTTGTCACTATTCAATTGAATGTATTTCTATGCCAAAGAATTAGAATACTTTAAATATCTTAGTAATTTATTTCATTCGATAAATCGTCTTCATCGCTCCAATTCTATTTCATCTGAGCACAAAATTTTGTTATGTGCATCGAACATTGCAACATAAACATTTTCTGGATTATACTTCTCGTATTTTCTACAGAAGCATATAATGGTTTATGGTATAATCTATGACTAAGCGTATTTATAATACATAAATTTTGACTGAAGATACTCAGAATAATATTTCATTTGATTAAAAATTCATTGGAATTTTCTTTTTCTCATTATAATTGATCACCTAACACATAACATGACATTTTGTCTAAAGTTTACAATCCTTTTTTATTATTATTAAACTCTCGCATCATCAGCACTAACTACAACACCAAGTGATAATTTCATTGATGGATTTCATATAAGTTCATGAAGTAAACTAATCAATATCGATGCATTATCTTCTAAATCTTGCAACCAAACACATATTCGTTCAATAATAATAATAATAATAAATGACGATACTCTTCTCTTCTACTTGAATATATGCTGTGCAACAAAGAGTACAAGTTTTTACTTAAACAGAAAAACAAAATAGATTAAATTGACGTTGATCTCAGAAAAATAAACCTTTTCATACAATATTATGACCAGAGAATAGAACATCTCCACATGTTGAATGCATTCTAATAATGGCATAAAAAGCTTCGACAGGTGGCCTAGCTAATATTTTTATACTGATGATAAAACTTAGTTTCAGAATACTAAGTGAAGTGACATCAATAGAGATATTACACACGTCAAATATAATGCCCTGGAAAATAATCAACGACAGATAATAGTAACATAAATTGCGGATTGAGGTAAAAGTCTAATGAAGACAAATATATAGACGATAATAATTTAATAATTGTTTATTGTAAAATAAACCCAAAGAGGTAATATTTTGTGTCCAGTATCAGGTAATGTTAGTAGAAAATACGATGCTATACGGTCAACTATTGTTGTCACAGTAGCATTAATATAAAATAGTACACAAGGAGGAACAAACTGATTTCTTGATTTCCACGACTTCTTGGATTTCTTATGATTATGATTTCCAGTGATTTCTCTTACTGGAAATCAGTTTTGATATGATCATTGCAAACCAGCAGAGATCATTGGAAACGTTTAGAAATGTTGAAAAATGATGAGAAATCAATAGAAATCAACAGTGATCACTGAAAACATTGCACATTCTGAAGAAAAAAGAAAATTAGTAAAAATCATTAGTAACCAATAGAAATCGATATTTTCTTTCACTATATAGCTCGAGAAGTTCTGTAATTTCCATTTATTTCCATTTGTTTCTTGTAATTTCTAACAGCTGAATCGTTATTCACATCTTCAATGTATGATGATTTCTAGTGATCTCTATGCCTGGAAATCAATTTGTTCCCCCTTGATAATACAAGAAAAATAACTACTGAGTTTAATCAAAGTACATATTTCTATATGGAATGGCATTTAATGATTTTGAATATCATTTACTTTTATTTATTTGAATGATAAAATTTAGCTGCATTTAATGAGTCGTTGTCATAGTCTTATACGATTGACTTCGTAGCAAAATAAAAAGTAGATCATTGCGCAAAGAATAAAAGCAAATAAATAAGATACAACTTGTGCGTCTCTGCGCACAGTGCCACGCAGTAAAATACATATTATAAATTTACTTATATGATGCCACTGTATGCATGGTTGACCTACAACATATGAATACGAGGATAAGCAAGAATCCAAAAACGCATGCTCTATTCAACTACGTTCAACTAGTAGCTTATCAAGTTTCAAATCATGGATAAAGAACAATAAACAAAGAAAACCATTTTGTAAACTTAGTTTACTTGATTTTTAATATATTTTTAATTTTCTTTCGTAAATTTCTCAGAAAGATATTTGTTTTTCTTAAACCTTGAATAAATAGTATCAATTTTTAAACGAATACTCGACAAGTTGCTAATACCAAAGAAATATACATCAATGGATGATATTGAAAACAATATGCATGTATAACTACAGTTATTTTTCATCTTCATAACATTTTGATAGTTTTGTTTTTGTATAAATCAACATGGAAGAAAATATTGAGAGAAAAACCAAACACTACTTTTTTCTTGGAACTTCAAATGACTGTGAATCGATTCAAATTTCATTAGATTCTTTAATTATGAATTTAAAAAGTCCCAAATATTATGCTCTATTTTCAACAGCAAGTAATCATATGATTGTAGTAACTATCACAATATATTTTTTTATCGTGTGCTTTCTATGTTTTGCTGTCAAAATCAGTTTTCATTGAAGTGCCATTTGTCACACTTAAACTAAAGGTAGTTCAAACACATTACTGTAAGTACAATTGAAGACCAGTGTCCTATAAAAGTTAGTCCAAGATACAGAGCACTATTTTCAACTTGTAATGTGCTTGTATTCAAAATCAAAATATATAATTCAGATACGCAGCGAAAGACAGATTTGATATCTGGAACATAACAAGTAAGTCTTCCATTGAATACCAAAACTGGAAGAACCTCTTACTATTGTATTTGTTAATTGTTGTACAAACTTTCTCTGAGATAATCTGCAATAGTTCATGCATAGATAAAACTGAAATCTGCTATCCAAAAATCAAGTTAGGCGAGATCGTTTTTGAATTTAACGATGCGTTGACTCGAATGAATGCCTAAACTTTCCTTATATACAATGTTATCATCTGTGAATTAATGATGATGATGATGATGACGAAATTAGATAGCTGAAGTTATTGACAAATTCATATGAATCATAAAACAAAAATTTAGATATTTTCTCCATCATAGAAAATCGTCAATCATGTATGTATGATTGTTTACAGCTTTTTACATGGATGTCGTAAAATAAATATTAGAATGAAATGTGAACATCTTTATTTTATACAAATCATTTATTTTTTTATCATGAATGTAAAAGAATAATATTGTTGTATTGGAATAAAAAAAATCTATTAATTCACAATAATATTCACATGGATATCTAACAAAATTTACAAGTAAGGTTGCCAACCAGCAAATAATTGAGATAAATTATCTATGCTTGTCGCTTCTTGTATTAACATATTAACATGTGCCTTAATTGTCATTTGATTTAGGCGTTCAACACCTTGCAACTTTTGTCGAAGACCTAATAAAAGTCGTTCAGCCATTTTATTTGTATCTAAATATGGAATCAAATATATCGTAGGTTCTCTCGCACCATTAGTCAAACCTGTTGTTACTGATTCACCGACAATACTAGAAGATGTGGATGATGATGCTGGTTGCATACTGGTTTTCCCAGAAGCTCGACTCGATGATGACGCAACAGAATCATTAGTTTTATCAAACTGCTGCTGAAGTTGTAATGCTTTTTGTGGTGATAATTGCCATTGATAAAGAGGATCATAAAGAAATACTTCAATAATTGTGATTAACGTATCTGCATATCGACGCATTAATTCCAGTGTTATTTCACAACTCCTAGAAAAAATTAAAGTATAAACATAAACTATCAAGACGAAAAACAATCTTTAAGTTAAAATTACTTTTTAAAAAGACCCTGTGTACCGCATATACCAAGACCATCAATTACATCACGTGTTAGTCTAAATGGAATAGTTTCAGGAATCGGTAACCTTGAAAAAGAATAAATGATATATCGCAATAATAACACTCAATATCTAACTCACATTTTTCCTTGATCAAAAGCAACACCTAAATCAATATGAATAAATTCAGCTGTTTGCGTATCAATTAGAATATTTTGTACATGACGATCACCAAGTCCCACAATATAACCAACAATCGATGATGATGCTACACTTTTAGCATAAGCTTGTTTTTTTCTATGCCATACACTTGGTTTATTATAATATTCGTAAAAAAAGTATCGAAATACTGGTTTTAGTTTTGAACATGCTTGAATAAAAGCACGTTTCCGTTCATCTTTGCCAGCATTCGTAGCTTTATGAATATGTCGTCGACAATCCATAGCTGTCCAATCATCTGAATGATAACGTGAATGTGCGCCGTCAGAGATTTTTGTTAAATAATCTCCAAATGTTATTGTACCATCACACCATTCTAATACTCCACTCTTTTGTCTAAAAAGAAGACAAAGAAAAAGATTTCCTACATATAACATACAAATCATGTGAACAATTTGTTTAAAAAGAAGACTTTAGTCATGGCTAAAATTTTAATAAATTTGATGTTAGATTCGAGATCTATCTGATTGATTTCAATGATAATAATTATTTAGATTGTTTGCTAATAATTTTAGGCAATCGATGCAATATTATGGAAGTTCTCGAAGAATCAGTCAACATTGCGTATTCTTGGTATTTTTCTCTAGAACATATGATCCTTCAACTTTTGAGTATTATTTTTAGATATTCGTAGACCTCTCATCAACAATTTTTTCGTTCGAAATACTTACATCATTATCTTTTTTTAGAGAAAATTCTAGTTAACATCCCCAACAAAATTAAACGTGCTCAATATACTACTTTTCTTCTATGTAGTTATTTACAAATATGAAATAAGAAAATTCTTGAACATACGTTAATGGAACAACTTTGTATGTTCGAATATTAAGTGATCGATGACATGTAAGATCATCTTTATCTAACAGTCGATTTACAACAGTAAATAATTGTTGCATAACAGCATCTTGTCGTAAATCATCTTTTCCTTTAAGTAACTGTGACAATTGACGACCAGTTGAACTATGGCATAAAATCTTCTTTGGCGCATTAACGCCGCCGACCATTGCATATTCTGCATTAAAACTTTTAACAGTTTCGATATTTTTATAAATACCATCAATAGCAATCTAAATAAAAGACAAGATATTCTGTTTTTATGACTTTTAATCTGTGCACAAGAGTTTTATTTTACAGGTATTGTTATTGTAGGTACAGCAACTTCATGAAAATCTTTAATATGCATAAGCCGAAGTTGCTTTGGAAACGTTGGATTTTTTCCATTATTATCTTTTCCTTGTTGATCAGTTTTAGTTGGTGTTACATCCCAATAGGCTGCTTCAATATAAGCATCATTTAATTTTCTCATTTGATCAACAAGTAGTGGTTTAACTTTTGCACATTCATCTAATAAATATTGAGCAGCACGTGAACGAACATCATTATTACTTTCGTTATTTAATTGTATAAGTCCAATAGTATTGCTCTTTTTGACTGTACCCGATGATGTTGCTTGTGATTGTTGACTAATATGTGCATCTTTATGAGCGTTTGCCAGAGCAAAAATAACAGGTAACACATGATGTGGATGATCAATAATACATCGTGATAAATATTCCAAAAGAACCGAATGAAATAGTAATGATACTTTTTCATTTGTCAATGCCATTCTTGCTGCCATTTGATAAACAAATGGTAGAAAAAAGTATGTTGGAATGTGTAAAAGATTTTTTTTTAATGTTTTATTAACATCTTCATTATTTGAATTTGTAAACCAATACGAAAGACATTTTGATGTAATCATTATTTCTGGCACAGAATTCTTTTTTATAATATCCGTTGGTACTATTTGATTTGCCTGTTGTTGTTTGGATAAATTAGAAAACAATTTTAAACATATTAAATAATTGCTCAATGTTGAAATTAAATAACTGTATTGTAATTTTTTTTGTTCATCAATCTCTTTTTTGTCCATATCTAAACTACGTTTTAGAACTTTTGTATAACGTCCCAATGGATCTAATTTTTCTTGTTTATTATATTCAATTTGATTACGTGTTATTAATGAACGTTTATTTTCAAATGTTGGCGAATGAAATAATTGATTTAAACGTTGATATTCATTATCACTAAAATGTGCCATTGCTAAATAGGATTCAAATATAAGTGGTAGAGATGATGTATCTAGATTTTTTATTGAATTAGATATTAAATCCAGTTGCTGTTTTATTGTTGTTGATGTTTCACATCGAGTTTCATTAAGCCAATCGCACAATAGTAAACGACAGCGAATATGTATTGAATCAGGTAAGGGAGAATCAATTAACTGCCGAAGATACTCACCTGCGGTATCTTGTTGACGAAGAACAAGAACTTTAGCACGTAGAAAAGATAATTCGTGAGAATATGATGGATCAATTAAAGGAGATAGATCACTTAAATATCGGTCACATAACTAAAAACAAAAAAACATTAAAAATGTTTTAATGAACAATATACAAGTTAACAAAAATTTGTCATGAAGTTAAGAAGCAACTTTTTGATTGCTGATTTCTTAAAGAGCTGCTCTATTTTTGTTTGATACTGGCAAACAACTACTTAGGAAAAGTAATTCTTTTATTAAATTTTTTTCTAACATAAAAACTAAATCATTCTCATGATACATGACTGCAATTAAAACGCCTAAGCGATCAGTACGGACCATTACCACTATCGTAGATATTCTTGTTTTATTGGAAAATACGAAAATCTTTTACAACAGTTATATTCAGGGGTATTCTTCTCCAGAATATTAGATTTTAATTCTAAACTATAGGAAATATCAAACTCGAATTGCAATTACCGTCAAAGAATGATTTATAGCTATCGTCTAGAATAAAAACTGTACATAAAAACTGTTTAATAATATTAAAAATAATAATTGTCATTATAAAATTTATTATTGAAATTTTAACTTGATTTAAAGCAAAAAGTATCAACAGGCGTTAGAGAAAACTGGCAAATTTGGTGTAATTTTATAGCGTGAGTGTGTCTTGCACTCAATGTAAACACTTTCTGTAGAATCACTACGAATATGCTGACATTAAATTTAGACTAATATGAAAATTTCTTGTCAAGATGAAAACAAGTTGCTTTTATCGATGTATTTTAATAGTAAGAAATACATTATTGAGAATGAAGTTTTAAAAAATGTTTCTCTTGATATAATTACAGTAGAGTGATATCATACTTTGATACTTCTTGCTTTTCTGTTATTGTTATAAAGATATTTAGAGCAATGATAGTAAAAGATCTTATAGGGCAAGTTAGTTTTTAACGTAAGACTTGTTTTAGTGTTTTATATTTTGGCAACCTAGAGCTTTACGTTCATTTTGATTGTTGCCATTTAATCAACATCTGCAAATAGAAGTTCATTCTATTCGTTGAAATACTACTAATGAAAAGGTTGTTCAAAACCTATACAGGAACTTATAACGATTATGTAGTAGAATCTGTTACGTATGAAATAACTATTCTATACTAATAGCAACTTGATGTGATCTAATATGTTATAAGATAAAGAAATAACTCAATGAAACTAATTTACTTGAAGTTTTTTTGAATCCAATGCATTCTGACATAAATTAGTAACAAGATCTGCCAAAATTGTTTGTTTAATAGTTCGATGTTCTGTGTCTTCGTTAATATTGTGTAATAATAATTTATGGGTCGTAGCTACTCGTGTCAATAAAATTTCATCGTTCTCATCAAACATATCCTCTTTAATTTGGTTGTGAACTTGATTGAACCAAATTTTTGATAATATTTCAGGATTTTTGTAATGCATTGTCATATCATCAATAATATTAATCAAAGAACACTCACGTAAATCTGAAACATTTGACCAAAGATTATGGTCAATTAATTGTGGCACTGATGATGATGGAACTTGCATTTGCCGTTGTATTATCGATAAAATATTCTCTCGAATACAATTTGATCGTTTTTCATCATTTGTCTTCCATTGTGTTAGTTTATTTTTCCCACTTAGTAATGATGTTAATTGAATACGATAATATATTTGATCAGAAACTGGCGATATTTGATGTAAATATTGTTCAAGTATATGATTAAATCCACATAAACGTAGTGATTGGATTAACTTTGATGAATCCATTGTTAATGCTGCTTGATCATAATAAAATAATGAATCATAATAATTATTATTCAATTGATTAAATTCTCCATATAGACTTGGACGATTTTGAAAACATTTATCGAGACCATAGAATTCATCAGATTGATTCAGATTTGAATGAATGCGAACAAATAAATCTATTAAATCTGATGAAGATAATAGATCAATATCAGAATAATATAAATGTGTTAAATAATCATTAGCTGGAAGAATCGATCTAAATAAATAGTAGTCCAACAATAATAAAAGAATTTCTTTCAATAAAAAAAAAATAACTCGACAAGTAAATACATGAGATTTCGATTCCACTACCTGCAATGTTTTGAAATTGGAAAGATTTTCTTGGAAAACAATGTACTTTTTTTCTTATTTTTCTGTATTAATTATTTCATTTAGGCATTTAGAAATATGATAAGCCAAAACAAAAAAGGAAGAGATATTAGGTGTAGCTAAGTGTAGATACGCGTATGCTTAAATATCCTGAAAAATTGATAAATCATTAATAAATCGATGAATCGATTTCATAGAAAAAATATATTCTGAGACGCCCTCAATTCGAAAATGATGTTGGGAAGGAAAGAATTCTTTTACGCATTCTCTTGACTGTAGATAGTAACTAATGAAACAAATGTGAACTTGAAAGATGAATATCAATTGATAATATTTTCTCAATATTCTTGAAAAGCAAAACATGTCTAATGAACTCTTTTTCAGAAAGAATAATATTTATGTACCTTTGTTTCGTTGTCCAAATATCAGTGTAAATAATAGCTGACTGATAACATTGATATTTGGATGCACATTTAGCTAATTGAAAATAATCAAAATCTAACCAAAAATGATTTTCAAAATTAAGAAATAAATTTTTCCCAGGATTTCTTTTATTTAAATTTTCAATAGGACATTGTCGCAGGTAATTAATAGTGCGAAAAAAGATTTTTGCTATTTGAATATGAGTACAATCATTGTCAAATGCATTATTATTTAGTTGTTCAAGAAGAAAAGTAAAATTATTTGTTAATAACTGACGAATATTTACATTCGTTGGCAATAATAATAAACAATAGATTAAATGTGGGAATAGTTTTTTTGCTAATTCAATTTTTAATTGTGTTAATTGTTTCAATTGAATAAATATACATGCATATGGATGTCCAATTTCTTTTTCTTCTATGTAATAATGTTCAATTTGTTTTAATAAATAATTAATTAATGAAATAAGCCATGTATCAAATGAAGTTATTAACCATGGATTCGATGATGAATTAAAGTTTCTTTGAATTTTTGATGAAAAATTTATCTGAGATAAAAATGGTTTCGAATATATTTGTGTTAAATCATTTTTTATATGTTTTTGATAAATTTCTTGTCCAATTGAATGATTTAAAATACTTTTTAAGGTATAACGAGTACATTCAACAATAGATTGTTCTTTATCAATTAAATATAACATAATTAAATCATCAATAATCCATAATGGAACTTGTTCATATGGGTCTTTTTCGGCATTTTCTTGTTTGCGATTTGTTAAAAATAAGGAACACTTTGATAAACATTTTCCAGCTAAAATATGATTTTGTTTTAATTCTATACAACCGAGAAGCTTTTGTTTAACAATGCCAACTATGGACGGATCTATGTTAACTGAAAATTGAGACGATGATAATCGTTCGTTTTCTAAATGATTATGAAACATTTCTAATATCCATTGAACTGGTAATGAAGGACAATGTTGAGAAAGATATAAGAAATAATCAGTAGTTGTCATTATTTGTTGTTTTTTCTTCGTTTCATTCGTTAAATATCCTCTATGAATAAAACAAAAACACTAAATATTGAATTGAAAAGAATATGTTGATAGATTGTTTAAAAGGAGAACTAATTGATAGTATAAGAACTTGATAAGTTTCTATGGACTGCACTTGAGTCTATAAAACTTTACGAAAGGAGTACTTTCCCAGTTTAGAGTAAGATCTAACTAATCTATGGTTACTCAAATATCATATTATAATTAACTAAGGAATGAGTAGATCCTACCCGGCAACGGTTACAAATAATCAAAAATAAACATCTCGTAACTTTGCAGCTACTATAAAATTTATATTGGTAGAAACAGTCTTTAAGGATACGATGATTATAATTTAAGTTGAAATCTAAAAATTGTTGTACTCTTAAAAACTTATCATTCACTAGCTCCTAATTTTGTTTTTATTAGGTTTACTAATTACCATCTTAAAATCTAAAATCTGTCGCCATTCATACAATAAATTAATTGATTAGTTTAATCCGATGAGAAAAATCACCCTAAATAGGCCAGTTCGATTCTGACATATTTCATATGTCAATGAAATGAGAGCATAGCTCTTTTTTCCCATTGAGTAAGTTATTTGAAACTATTGTATTGTCTAAACTAGAGGTTCAATTTTAACATATTAATTTGATTTGACAAGTAACAATACTAGCCATGAAATTTCTCAAATAACTCATATAGAAACATACATTCTTTCGATAGTTTTCAATCAGTTTTCAATATGTAGTTGTACAATTTAAAAAAAACACTTAGCTTACAATTTTTCAATTGTATATGATATGAAAATATACGTTGGATCATTATTATGCTTAATAAATTCATAAACATAGATAAAAATGTTTTGAATACGTTTCTTAGTCAAATATTGATCATAATTAATTAATGTTGAAATAATATCTGGAATGTGATGAAGATAAATTGATGAGTCAAATTCAAAGCCTTTTGTACATAGCTGATGAAGAAGTTTACAGATTATATTGAGAATTTTATTATTTAATTCTTGTTGATAAATTTGAAAATATTTGTTTTGAAAAGTTTTTTCAATATACCGTAATAATAAATAAGTTGAATCACGTAATATACTATGTAAATAATCATTATCCAGAGACTTCAGAAGTATATCAGTTAGAAACAATGAATATACATTAAGTAAACGAAGTTGTTCGTGAAGAGAATTCGTTGAGAAAAGATTTGATGATAAACAATGAAGAATTTCACCAATATCCTAGAAAAATCAAAGTTGAACTTAACTACTTTAAATCTAAAATATTAATTCAAAGAAAAGAAAATTTATCTTTCGGCTGCCAAGACTCTAAAGTATTGAAGAAATAAAAATAAATGTAATCAATGCTAAAATCATTTTATTGAATCCTTGAACTAATCTCAAGCGAAAGATTTTTTAATCGAATCATTTTAAATAGAAGTCTATTTAATAAAACTCCTTTTAGATATCATTTTCTTACTGTTGACTTGATTAAAAGTTCTGAAAATGTTTTCGCATTCACTATTTGTTTAATATAATCAAATGTATTTTTTAATGTTGACCAAGTAGAAACAGGTAAGATTGGTTCCGGTAACCATTTATCATAGAATTCATTTTCTTCACTATTCGAATAAGTTAACAAAAGATTTACAATAATCATTGTTAATTTTTGTTTCATCAAACGATTATATTCAGTTTTAGTAATGATTTTCTCAATTAATTGCCGATTATCCTCTGCTTGCCTATTGTCTTTCATTTTATTGGCTAATGATGGTAAAAGATATGCTTGTAATTGTGGAAAATAATCAATTAATGAAGATTTCGTATCATGAAATAGAGAATCAAGTTGTTGACGATGTAGTACTGATGAAAGAAAATAAGTTGAAAATAGAAATGAATGATATTGTGCAATAGAGTTAGTATTGAGAACATCCCATGGAAAATCCTTTATTTTATATGATGTTTGTTGACGCCAATACTGAATAATTGATTCAATAGGAACATTCCGAAGAAGATATTTAACAATAGTTTTTGATATTGAGTTTTTTAATCCAATTTCAATAATGTGAAAAGCTATTTGACGCGATAAATATTCACTTATATTTGATAAATAATAAAAGAATAAAATTGATGAACAGCTTTTTTCTATTAAACATTGATAAATTTTCTTTTGTTCATTAGATGACTTTAAACAATATTGATTATTAAATACAAATTCATTTGAAATTTCTTTATAGCCAAGAAATATTCCTAAACTTGATCGATCATCATCATCATCATCCATATGTTCACATTGATTTTGAGAATTCATTGGATTCGACTCATAAAATAAATTTAAACATAGTTTAGTTGCTTCCAAACGAATAAAATATGATGAATCATTTAAAATTATTTGAATTTCATCGAATGTTATTGGTTCATCATGAATAAGAATTTGTTTCATTTGAATCATTAATTTTCTTGTATTATTATTTAATAAAGTATTTTTATTAACTGTCATTTGCCAAAAAGCATCAATAATTTTTTTGAGATGTAACCAATTTTCATTGGAAAATAATTTTTCTCGTACTTTTCTATAAACAATTTTAATAAATAAATGAAATAAATAAATAAATCTTTGACACAGAAGTATGTCACGACGATAAATACGAAATGCTTGAGAAAAAAAATTTGTTAAATATTCAAAATCGTTTAGACGAATATTTAAATAATATTGCGATCGATTTAAACATAAATGAGAAAAAAAATTATTTAAATATTGGTATGATATTGGATTTGGTAAAGAAAGTTCTTCGAGATATAAATAAATTTTTTCTTCAAGAATACGAATTAATAAATTAATATTTGATTGATAATTTAAACAATATGGTAATAAAAATGAATTTGCATAATATTGCTTATCGTACAACGCTTGAAAACAAAGACTAAGAAGAATTTCAAATGTTTGAATTAATGGTAGTTTATCTTGAGATAGGCTATCGATTGGACATTCAACTCCTTCGATGTCACTGGATTTCGTTTTAGATAATTCTTGTGTTGCAAAATTATATAGATATGAAAGAAATTTTGCATCAAGAAATCCATAAAGAATAGACGGAATTTTATTCAATGAAGGTAATATGGGTTGAAGTAAACTAGAAGATGAATTCAAATAAATCGAAATTTTTATGTGTTCAAATAAATCATTAACGAATGGAATATCTTGATTTTTAGTATATAAGAAATTTGTCTCTTCAGTTAATTCACTGAATAAAATTTGAATCATTTCGATAAATCTTATTATTTGCATATTATTGTGTATTGTTTTCGTAAAAAATATTTGAAGAACATGAAGCATATTAATACCCAGAAATCCAAAATGAAGTAGTAATTTGTTGCGTTCACCCTATAGATAAAAGTTTCTTTTGACAACAAAAATATCTATGAGAAGAATAGATCAACTTAAAAAACAAAAACAAGAATCTTTCAATTTTTACAGCTGACTAAAAATTTATTATGAAATTCCATTAATGTTTATCTATGACACGAAGAGGAAGCAAGATAAGTATTCAATTTAGAACGAACTATAAAAAAATCTTCAGACGTTTGGTATTTTAACGATCACTTCTGCTGTGATCAGACGAAATCTGCCCGAATGAACAAAGACTCAATTAGAATGTTCAGTATAATGATATTAAAGTTCATCAATGCGCTATTCTAAATTTGCATAGAGCATTCAAATAGGATCAAAATATGAAAGTTTAAGTTTTACTTTTATTTCGATAGTAATTCAGTTTTTTCACTATAAGACTGTCAAATTTTTGATTAGTCAAACGTATGAATTGATGCGAAATTTAATTTTATACTTCATGGTGTGAAAATAATCTTTTCTGATGCAGTCTAAATAGACCTATCGTATCACTAACTTAAAATGTGTCCATTAAAGTGAAAATACGTTTTTGTCTTGGATTGAAAATTTCTCTTATGATTGGTTTCTTTTACGTTGAGTAACGAAAATATATGATGTTCAAGGTTAAAGTTTTCTCAGTATGAAAAAAAATCTAAATTCTCTACGAAATCAATCTAATCTATTCAATAGCTAATAACGAAAACATGATAGAAATACAGAAATCTATAAAATTAATTGTGTAATAAATCTTACTAAATGTTTATCTTTTAATTGTTGAATAAATCGAACATTTTTCTCATAGATTTCTAAAATACGTTTAAAGGTATTTAAATTTAATTCACATGTATGAAGTTTTGTACAAAAATTGAATTGTTGTTCTTCTTGTTCTTGTTCTTCTTCTTCGTGAAATGGAAAAAGTAATTTCAATCGAGACCATTCAAATTCAATTTGACTAAATTCATTTTGACTCGATTTCTTTTTTGTTTTAAATAATTTATTTGGTATTATATCAAATGAGTTGAACTGCATAAGTATTAATGCACATATATGAGTGTATTCAGGTGAATAAGATGCGAAAAATATTGATAAGTCATGTTCATTATTACGATATAAAGAAATTAAATCAGGCATTAATTTATTAATCAATTTATCTTCATCATCAAATAGATATTGATTACTTGGATGAAGTGTTAAATAATGAAACACATATTTAAGTGACGTTATTGATGAGCATGTACATAAATTTGAAAGAGATAGATTTTTAATCGATAGAATTTCTATTACATAGGATTCACATATTTGGATATGAATTAATGGTTGAATCAAAATAATTAAATTGGGTGTTAATTGACAATCCGGTATGTTAGTCAAAATAAGATGTAGACATCGAAGAGCATTCACTAACAGTGATGGTCTAAATTAAAAGATAAATAACGGAAAGATATGTTGTTTTTAACTCTCAAAATGGTTTGAATTTAGCATCAAAAAGAAGCAGCAGTAATTGTCAAGGCCTGTGTAATATAGCGTCATAAGACATAACAAAAGTTTAAAATTCGGCCAAGAAAACTCTCTAGTCGCTTACTGCATACCAAAAGACATACAATAGTCAATCAGATAACTTATATAGACTTTTAAAATATGGAATACTATGTGAAACAAGAATCAATTTGAGTTTTATCTTTCGATCTATCTACAGTTAAATATTAACATCTATTTAAACATTTGATTAGATAAATATAACTATAGGTACATCGCTCACTGTTTTTAATTTTTCAATCTAGTAATTACGGATTCATGAGTTTAATGATAATGTCGATGAATTTAACTGAAAGTCAGTTGAAAAAAATTTCAGTCAGAAAAATATTTCGGAAGGCTTATTTATTTTAGGTTTTGATTTAGATAGACGACATATAGAATAGAAATAACATATATTACTATCAGAAACCATCTTATAATTGTATAGAAATGAATTTCCCAAGTTTTTATTGACTATTATGTCTCAAACTGCTTATCTATTCTATTTACCAGAGAAACTTGAAAAGATTTTGAATTTAAGAGAACACTTGACAGATTCTAGTTATTTTGTGGAACTCACATATATTTTCGAAGAAAATATATGTGTAAGTTGAATTGTTAGGTTTTTGCGGCACCCCTNTTAAAAAGGTTTTATTATCTTATTTTTGAACAAAATATGATCTCACTACACTGAAAAAATAAAACTTCTATTTGATCAGTATCTAATTGATCGAAATATGTGAGTTCCACATTTTAGCCCCAACGGGGTTGCGCTGACAAGCTTTTTCAATCAATTTTTTGAAAACAAAATCGATTAGATAAACCTGAACTCAGTCATTTGTTACAGAATACACCGAAAAAAAATAGCACCACACGCAACCAAAAACGTTTCGTCCTTCCTCAGTGCGAAACTCATAAAAGATTTCGAATTTTCTCACTAAGCTTAAAAAGGGTTTCGCAGATACTACGAAACTTAAGAAGGGTTTCGAATTTTGAAATGAATTCTGAACCTATTTTAGGTTTCGTAGGTTTTCCACAAAACCTTCGAAAACGTTTGTTGGATTCTTGGTAATTATTTTGAGACTATCTTGGGGTTTTACGAACTCTTTTTGAAGGTTTCGAATTGGTTTCAAAAATGACTCCGTGTGGTGCTATTTTTTTTCCAGTGTAGCATAGCAGATATTTCAACATAAATAGAAAATCTCTATCATAAAATTTTCAGTAAAACTTGGTACAGAGAAAAAAAAATTTGAACCTCAATAAAGCAGTAGTTCTTGAGTAAGTCAAAATAACAACGAAAAATTTTCATTTCAATATGTTAGATTCGGATAGAAACAAGAATACATTGCGTTTAAAACAGTTACTTTGATGTAACAGTAACTTCCTAGTAGAGCATACTTTTAAGAACAATTATTTGCAATGAGTGAAAATATTCATTTTTTTCTCTTTAGAACTTAAGCAGCTTTTCATTCTGGCTGGTTAAATCGAACTAAACATAACCAGCATTCTATGAAATATACCATGATGTTTTAAACAATTTTACCTTCGTTCATCGGTTAGAAATCTTTTTATAACAGTTATATAATAATTACAATCTGTTGATGATAATATCATATTTCGTTCAAGTTGTAACGAAACTATTTGAAAACTATAAAAAGAAAACCAAATTCTTCTAATAGAAAAGTTCCATGAAAACACATTCATTGTTTCTACCCAACAGCTTGATGATGAGGATCAATTGATTGAAATAAATTTTGAAAATATTTCAGTTGTAAATCCACATTTGTTGATATACACATTGAATTTTCATAACGTGCTCGTTTTGAACTGGGTTCAAATAAAGTTTCATCATCATCATCATCATTATCATTATCAACTAGTTCATTTTTAATTGCAATTTTATTTAAAGCAAACTTTAAAAAAAACATGAAATCAAGTTGTAATTTTTGAAATAAACATTTTAGAAATTTCTACCTGATAAAAAACGCTACTTGCTAAATGAAGTAAATCAAAACGAACTATAAATTCATTTTGATTTTGTCGATTATTTAAACGTTGTTTATGGCAAATTTCATCAATTTCTCTTAAAATTAAATCATTTATATCTCGCAGATTTTTCTAATTAAACAACACGAATACGAAGACTTTTTTGAAAGTTTTTAAAATGAAACTTACCATCCAAATATCATCAGATACTTCCGTAATACACTGTCGATGATTAGGATGATGAATACTCATTTGTAAGCGACTAAATTTAATAATTTCTGTCTAGAAGCAAAAACAGAAGAACAATAGCAATCGATTAACCCGTGTCTTTTTTTCATATTTTACTTTTGGCTTATCACTACATTTTCTTCTCCAAATATCGATTAGGGATGGTAAAAGTTCATTACCCAAATGGTAAACTTCATCTGGCATATCGAATAAATATTTGAATGACCACGAATTAAGTGAACAGAGTAAATTTTCAATAACAGAAAAATGATTAGAATTTCTAAATAACAAAAATTTCAAGTAACTTTTGCTTGTGTCTTTCAATCAATGCAAACTTTAATTGTTCAATTTCAACTTTTAAAAATTCAAATAGATCTTTTCGAATTGAAGATTTAGTTAAATCAAGATCATAATAAACAACGAATTTCTCTATAAGAAATTTTAGATATGAACTATAGAGGGCTTGATCACTTTCACGAAATGATTTATTTTGAGTTTTTGACAAAGACATATATAAGTTACATAAATCTAATAGAAAACAAAAAGAAATAATAATATCTAGAAAAATATTTCTTTTTTTACCAGTCCATTCTTGTTCACGTAATTCATTAACATATTTATGAAACGATAGAACATTAGTAATTAGTAAATGACTTAATTCCTTGATAACAATTGCACAGGATGACCAAGCTTCACTAATTATTATTGAAATAATTGATTCAATGACTGGACGTCCATCAAGTTCAGGAGCACCTTGAACGTAAAATGTTGCATTAATTTGTATAGTTAGATTTGAATACATACGTGTATTTGCATTTTCTATAAGAGTTCTAAATAGTTTCAATGCTTCCTGATATTTGATATCAGCTGATACATTCTTTGTTGATTTTGTTCGAATACTGGCTAATTCATTGATTGTATATTCTCGAATAACCTGAATTTGTAAGAAAGACTAAAAAATCAATAAGGAATATAAATGTTAAAACGAACATTGAACATTTCATTCCATGTTATTGAACTTTTTGCAGTAGTTTCATTTTGAATGTCTTTGTCAAGTAATTCATGTATTCGATTATCTTTAAGTAATTCAACGAATGTTTCGACATTTCTCTGGAATTTCAAGAATAAAAACACGAATTCTTTTCGATAGATTATTCTACCTTTCGCTCAGTGACTGTAGTTGATGAGACAAAGACGTGCAGACATTTACGAAGAGCTAACTCTATTGCGTCCATATTTGTCTAGAAATTTCAAATAAAAATAAAATCTTATTTGCAATGATCATGAAAAAGACAAGAAATGATATTTCGTGATACGTGTGCAATACCATTCATAATACATACACGTGTGTGCATTGTTAGCAATGAAATGATTCATAAGAGAACTAACACTATTTGGTTAAAATGCACCATTCATAACATTAGTTAAATTTATGTTGAAATGAAATAGACAAAAAAACAACAAACATTTGAATAGCAGAGAAGTTCACAAGTTTTCAGAATTTATTAATATTGTAAGAAAGAATTTTTTTGAAAATTTATTTTACTCTGATTGAAAGTAGATTTTATATTCAGAAAAATGACATAAATGATTTGAAACTACAAAAAGCATAGACAATCAATATATGAATGCTCGTTGTAAATGGATTCACATTCTAATTTTTAAAGATTTTGACTATACGTGTATTAACTCATAAGCGAACAAGATCGCCTCAATGAATAGATTAGCTATATAAATTTTTTTGTACACACACACACACACGAGATTGTTTAACGATAAGCAAAGTATTTCAGATGGTTCTCCGATGTAACCACTTAACATGATTATTTATATAGGTACCATGGAATTGTTCTATTGTATTGTAATATCAAGTGACACCGATGAGAAGGTCTTTGCAATTCTATTCGATAGCTATGTATATGGATGAGCCATTTAAGCTAACACTAGGGGTATTTTTAGCATTTCCATTCGGGAAAACTATTTCCTTGGGTATTCAACAGCAGTAGATCATTTTTTTTTAATATAAGTGCAGTATTTTTATTTGCCATTAGAACGTTTTTGATTTTCTAGAATATCATGTGAATTCTAGTAATTTAGAAGAAGAATAGAGACAATTTATTTAGAGAAAAAATATAGTAACAAGGTATCACATAACATCTTTTCAGTGACAGACAAATGAGAATAAATAAGTCTGAAGATTCGCTTTATCAACATCTTGAAGATTAGATCAGAATAAAATTGAATGACAATATAGTAATAGTAACAAAAGCAACTAGACAAATAGAAAAAGCTTTCCTAAAACAAAAAAAAAGAATAATTTAAACATGCTGACCGACTACGAGTTTTATTCCTCTATTCGCTAATATTGTGAAAAACAATTTTTTAATGTACATTACGACTTATACCATCATGATGTTTAGCTATCGCACTTTGCTGGTTCAATAAATCACGGCGTCTATTTTCTACATTTCGTGAAACTTGCATTTTTAATGATATTGACAAACTTCTGCCATTTGTTGTATTTGTACAAGAACTTCTGTTTTGATCATCATAATTTGTTTGTTGATTTGGTAAATCGTTTTTGTTGTTTCCTGTTGTTTTTCGGATCAGATGAACTTTACCACGTATATTAGCTGATGACTGCTCACTAACAAATGATGAACGAAAACGTTTTAAATCTTGATATTCTACAAGTACCTGACGATATTGTTGATTTGTTGATGCTCGACGTTGGTTAACACCGTTCATCATATCTGTCTGCAACATTGATCCTATATCAGGTTTCGCTTTAACATGAATTGTCTTCATTAGTGCTTGACGAAATTCTGTACCTGATAAACAATAACTAAAAATACTAGCGTAATTAAAATACATTAAGATATTATAAATAGTCCATTGTATACGTCGGCAACGCATCGTATCAACGGACGCTTTATGTGATAATAAATCAATTATAAATGCGGTTACTGGTAAAGTTGTTGCAACGAATATAAATGATGAACATATCATAATTAAACATAATGAACGAAGGCGATTTGTTGCTTTGGAACGGCTAACGACTTCACTTTTCTTACCAGGACCAGATACGAGAAATACACGATTAATAACAGTTAAATTACATAAAATAATAAAAGTAAAAGGGATTATTGTGACAAGAAACATGTCGATCCATGTATAAATGTGTTCAAAGAAATGTACATAACTCGGATGCAAATAACATCGTTGGTATTGGAATGGATTTACAGTCGACCGTGTAGAATTCAACGCATTCGAATTCTTATTGTCATCTTCACCTTGGACAAATATTAATAGATGTATATTAGCTAATGATAGAACAGTGAATACGATGCTTGAATTAATCGATGCTTGGCTTGTACGACACCATTTCGATGTGTAAATCGGAAATTTTACAGCAACATAACGATCAAGATTTAGACAACATCGAAACCAGGATGAAAGGTGAAGTGTATTACTAAAAGTATAATGAAACAGAAGTATTTATGTTCGTCTACTATGAAAAAAAAAACTTACTAGAAAAAGAAAACATGTAGTTTACACAATAGGGTACCTTGAATATGAAGATGAAAACTTGATGATAATAGTAATTCACGTAATAAACCAATATATAAAAGAACAGTATCGGCAATAGCCATAAGTGTCAAATAACGATAAACGCTATGTTGTCGCATTTGTATTAAAACAACTATTGATAGAAGATTGCCCACTGTACCGAGACCAAGTAAAAATGGATAAGTGTACAATTCAATTTGTTGTGCAATCTCTTCTCGGAGCGAACAATTCAGTGTCAGCATCGTTCACTAACAATCATTTAACTAATAACATATTAACCGATTCTAACCATTTCTACAGACAGAGACAAAAAATAGAAGAGCACAGACATAAAATAACATATTATGTTCATTTCAGACCACTGACAGGTAATTTCCTTATCTTATAATGTCATGCAAACAATCTGATGATTAAATGAGAAAAAGAAGAAGAAGAAAGGTTTGTTCGCTTCAAATGACATATACTATATCTTGTTTTGTTTTCAAGACACCATCAAAACATCAAAAATGTATTAGATATTGTATTAAAAGAAAAAAAATCGTAGACAGACAAAAGCCTAATATAATTATGAACAGCAAGTATGAAATGTGCACTCAATCTATTGGAATATTCAATATGCTAACATGTTTGCTTTTTGTTTGAAATGTTATGATGTCCATCAATTACTAACCATCGATAAGAAGAACAATAGATGGAGAATAAAATGAATTTCGCAGTAGTTTACGTTCCACTGTATATGAAGAGTTTAAAGATGTGCAGAAAAATGAAAACTTCACGAATTCTTTTATACTACCGTGCATTTTAAGAATCAAGAGTATGATTGTAAAAATTACAACTTTTCTCAAGTAGAATCTTGTTAAAATAGAAAAGTAGAACAATTATCTGATCTGTAAAAGACAACAAAACGAAAGAAAAGTTTTTTTTATCTGTGTCAATATTTACTGTTTTGATGTTAAATAATTTGACAACGTAGAAAAAAATTAGAATTTTTCATCTCACAACCTTTGCCATAGTTAGAGTAATGAAAACGGCATAGCATGTGACTGATTTCTAATGAAATACCTTTTACCATAGGGAAAAAAGCAGTATTGACACGTTTTATTTCTGATAAATATTGTCAGTGATTCAAAACTGGCTATGACTAAAATGGGACTGAAAATATCATTCACTACCTTCATTCTTTTATTTCCGATTTGATTCTTAATAGTATCTAAGGAGTCTATAATACCCATTGTGCATGTTAAACAGAAAATGAAAGGGACACATTTTCTGTTCAGTGTTGAATATAATGTGACATGCCATATGGCTCCCTGATGAACACAACAATTTTTTATGCTGTTTCTCACCATTACAACCATTGCTCTCGCACTAGTTTCCTGAAAGATATAAGTATAAGCAATGACGTAGATACATCGCTGCAAAATCATATTCTTGTTTTTTAGACACATGAACAAATTCTCTGAAAATCATGCTATTATCATTTGATGGAAAATATTTCATGATTGAAAAATGTGCGATTGATTTGTTAAAGAAAATGCTCTGTTCTTTTTGGAATAAAACTGTTGTATGGATGTTTGGTAACTCATCTAATTACTCTTTTTCGATTTTAAAAAGATTTTTAGTAGCTAGTGTAAATTTTTTCTGATTAAACATAAATAAAATAGCTTTGCAATTATCATAAATGTAAAACGAATTCTGTAAACATTTTCCAAGAGTATGATCCTTAAAGTACTACTCAGTGCATGAAGAAGACATTTTCATATTATTTAATAAAAAGTTGATTTCAGGAAACGCACGTCATGACTGTTAAATCATAGAATAAAAACCAATTAAGTTATTTTGAATTAGAAAAAAAACGATCGCACAAGTCTGTCACTATTACTTTTTTCCGTAGATTGCTAACATCATTTCACAATTTTACTTGCAAATATGTATTCTGAAGTTCTAAGACGTAGTCAAAACTGCAATATTTTATTAAGATTTTTAGCGTACGTTTGATAATCTAGCAAATCAGTACAAGGAAACAGTAATGGTTTCGTCCTATTTATAATGCGTTACTCACAGAGATGTCCACAGGGCAACATTTTGCACCCTGTCCTGCCCTTTTGAAAAAAAATGAATAAATTTAAGATGTGTCCTGCCCCTACCCTGCCTTGTCGGTTTTCAGCAGGGCAGGGCATGGTACCCTGCTGAATTGAAATAGCGTCTGTGTTGTAATTTTTGATATATTTCAAAATAGAAAGACATGTTTCTCATTGTACCATAGAACAATTTTTTGTTTTAGAGCCAGTTCAGACAAGTCACGATGGACCCTTCTTAATTAGAGGTGGTCGATTTAATCGATACTTTTATGATGATAGATGCAAGCGTTTGATGAATTCATGCGAAAACTGTTTTAAAAAATCTTGTTCCATTCTTGAGACCTTAGATTTTTCTGAGACCTATACTTCTTAAAGAAAATATTCATTTTTGCTTGAAATTTTCAATGTAGATCTATCTTTAGTTGAGGTATTTTCCCTGAAAATATGAGCTCAAATTGATCGATTATTGATGAGTTGACCTCGAGTATCAGTAATATTGAAAAAATTGCGTTTTTTTTGTATTTTGTGGGTGTACATTTTCATTTAGTAGATAATACTGGCGAGCTAAAATTTTAACCACAGAGATCGCATTGACTAGGCCTGGTAAAAAATTTTGTTCTCCAGCTAGTTTCATTTTTGAATGGAATCCTCATGAAAAATGTGATTCTCGATCATCATGATTTTGATGAAAATCGCATTTTTACAACGGCTTTCGATCGATGAGGACTAACAGGAGAACTAAATTTTTTATCAGACTTAGTCAAGGAGATCTCTGTGGTTAAAATTTTAGCTCGCCAGTATTATCTATTAAATGAAAAAGTACACCCACAAAATACGAAAAAAAACAGAATTTTCAATGTTACCGGTGCTCGAGGTTAACTCATCAATAATCGATCAGTTTGAGCTCATATTTTCAGGGAAAATATCTCAACCAACGTGTTACAAGGATGTCGCTCGCATACAAACTCTATATATGTCATCCTCCATCCTTTTTCATCTTCTTTGACCTGGATTTGTTTCTCTTGTTTCTCTCTCTTCTCTTCTCTTCTCTTGTTTTTCTCTCTATATAAAGATGTTACTATTATATTCAAGGACATTCTTGTTAATAAAGTTAATGTGCAAGTTGTACGTACACACATATATTTCTCGCTCTAAAAATGAAGATGAAGAAAAAGTACTTGTTTTACCTTATACATTATTTGAAGTAGTAAATGTAACTGGAGCAACAGACAAAGAACCTTTTTCGATTTATTTACGAAATGTACCGGTACCTGCACTTTCTCTTTTCAGTTTTTTAAAAGAGAAACCAAAGTATATTGAATAAAATATGAATTCAAACACATATTCATGGAATAACCAATTCCTACAATCATTATTACAGTTATTTTATACGTCGAGAAAACGTTCTTTTGTGATATATAATTATACCAAAAAAAATGTTCGACCAATCGTTTTATAAATTCATCGCACGATCAAGAATTCAAACATGCTTTGTTATCTCACACAAAAAAAATGCCGGAAACGTATATTTCCCTGAATAACGCAAATTGTGTGAAATATTGTTTCGGTTACTTATCAATACTTCAATGACTGAAGTCTGTTATGACATATAGATATTAGACGTATGGTGATCTCTCACTTGAGAAGTCCCAGGTTTCTTGCTGAAGATTACTTCTTCATTAACGATCGTTACTAGAATAGATATATACTAGATCAACATCATCCTGAAGTAAAACAGTATTGTATTAACTACTTTCATAATCTAGAATAGCAAAAAAAACAAAAGTTTTTCTCAAAATAAAACAAAGGATCTAACAATCAAACTAAATTTTCTCTGATAGATAATCATTTTGATATTATGAGATATACGTCATTTAAAAACATCACTTATAAATTACTAGAAAAGAATACTAGCGGGTGGACGAGAAGGAATGAAGTTCTCGATATTTTTTTCATTATCATCTCCAGTTTTTATAGTTGTAGACTGAATTTTGTTTTTCAAGAGATTCAACCTTTGGTTCTCTACAAAATCATATACAGATGGCTATCATATAGATACAAGTAAGAAGAATAGTTGCTATTCTAATACTAAGAATATACAGCATCAACAACTTTCGAGCATGGAAAACGATTCTATTGTATTAATGTAGTCGTACATCGATTTATATAGATAGATTTTGACAAAGTGAACTATCTGAATCTTTACAACGAAACTTTATTGCATAAAATAGCGTTAAATAAATGTCACTCTTCTTAAGTTTAGAAATATCAGGGTTTTTTTTGTTAATTTGAAAAAAAAGTAACGATTATTCAACACTTATTTATGTAATAAAGTTTCGTCACGAAAATTGTTTAACATACTATAGTAAGAAAAAGCTTTTCACGTTCTGCAAAACAGATGGTTCACTTTGTCAAAATACAGGAGAATTGTGTTTGGTTCTGTGAAAGGTGTTGATGTCGCATGTTCATAACAGAGACGCGCACAGGACAAAATTTTTTGTCCTGTCCTCACCTGTTCTGCTGGCTACCTCGGTCCTGGCGGGCGGCAGGACAGGACAAAAATTGAAACCTTATCCTGTCCTGTTTTGCCCTGTTGGCAGTTTTCGTCCTGGCGGGCGGCAGGACAGGCCAAAAATCTAAATCTCATCCTGTCCTGGTTTGTCCTGCTGACTTTTTGAGTCCTGGTGGTCGGCAGGACAATGCGTTAAAGTCCTGGTTGGTGTTACTGATTTATTTGGATTTTACTAGTGACTGAAAACTAATTATGAGCCCAAAATTTGGACTCCAAACTCTAGCTGTTGTTGACCAAAGTAAATATTACTATTAGAAATCTTAGACTTAATTTATTTGATATCATTTTCAAATACAACAAATATACTTTAAATTATCACTTATTTATAAATACAATAAAGTAGAAAAATATCTTAAGTTTCTATTACTTTATATTTTTTTGGGTTCATGTTTAAGCAAAAGTTCAATTTTTTAAGATTTTAGTGGAGTTGATGAAGAAATTTCATTAGGAATCATAGTAAATATATATTTAAAAAGACGAATCTAAATAAAGAAAATGTCATAAAAAATGAAAAAAATAATGTTAGAATTAGAAGAAATAAGTAATAACTGTTTCGCGTTGTTTCTCTTTGTATTCTGAATAAGAATTTCTGAATCACTGATGATTAAATCTGATTCGGTACTTTTTTTCGACTAATATTTAAATTAATGTGATAGTTCATTCCTATAGCGATATTTATCACTCAGTAACCGTTTCATGTGTCATACGACAATATGTAGAACATAGATATGCATGTGCACAGGACAAGACTTTTTGTCCTGTCCTCACCTGTCCTGCTAGCTACTTTGGTCCTGGCGGGCGGCAGGACAGGACAAAAATCTAAGTCTCATCCTGTCCTCCAGGACAGGACAGGACACCAGGACAACAGGACAACAGGACCGTCCTGTCCTGTGCACGTCTCTGGTTCATAATATTGCTATAATCAATTATTTTATCTTTATTCCATGACACTCGTTTCTGTTTTATTTTGTAGAGGCTCCAAAGCTGAATCTGTTGGAAAAAAAATATTTAGTTCAAAACTATGAAGTCTAGAGAAGATAATGAGAAAATACTGAGACTCTCATTCTTTACTGCCTACTACATTCATTTTGCATTGTTTCAGAAGAAAATCAGAAAGTGGAAAATTTCTTTTTTTTTCAAAGCTTGGACGATCATAATAGTTTGAAAAGATTGTATTTGAATTTATAGACAAACATGAATTCATTTACAATCAAAACAAAATTCATTCGAACGCAAGTCAAAATAGTTGAATATTTAAAGTGAATTTCAATCTGTGACCAACAATTCATTATCGTAAATTTGCTTTTGTAGAAGTTTATTTTCTGATTTAAAATAAAAATAAAAAGATGTAGATTATGAGAACAAAAAACTTGTTCAGATCATTTTGTTTCGAGATTTTACAATAATAATATGCTTATGAGAAAAACAAAAAAACTGTTGGTTTCTAGCGTGCAAATCGACTAAAAAGTATACCAAACAGACATCCTGTTACAAAGAGAAGAAAGAAAAAACCAATTTGATAATATTGATTCAGATTTGAACTCGATTGATATTTCGGCATGCGTGATTGCTTTTTACAAATGATTGGAGGTTGACTATAAGGTTGTAATTCAAGTGATGATGCAGTTGTAGTTGATGTTTGCGCATTATTGACAAATTTTGGTAAAAATCTTTGAGGGATCAGATATGAAGACACATTGAACAAATCAGCAAACACTTGATATTTGTCACTATGATAAAGAAAAAGAACATGATTCATTTCATGATTCTTGGCGAAATTGAATTGTATGAATTTTGAAAAGCTAACAGAAAATGATGTCACAATTTCTGATTTGGGATTTTTTCAATTAGTCATATGTAAAAAGACGTAAAAGTTGAATCAGTCTATCGAATGTGAATCATTGGGAAATAATAATAAAAAAATTCTTCTCAGTCTTGTTATGTCCTGCACTTTATTCAAGTACAATGAATGAGAGTGATGGTGGCAGTGACGTCATTCACGTTAGTTTCTTTTCTGCTTGAATAGATATTTTCCCTTTTTCTTTCATATATGCATGTTATATTTTCTTTTTCTTATATGCTTCTTGATTACAACTTGTTAAATGGATTTTTCCTCTCTTATTGATTATCTATAGGGAATTGTTCATTGTATGGATATTCCACTATATTTAGTCATTATGTGATAACAAAGAGAGAGAGAGAGAGAGAGAAATTCTGAAATAAACTAAAAGAAAAGTAGATATAAAAAATCTATTAAATGTATGTAAAGGTTGATATTTTAAATTATCAATAATTTTCATAAGACAAAAACATTTCATTCTTTATTTCTGTTGAAAATGTTCAAAGTATTTTTCCGATAATTAACTCTATTTATAATCGTTCATCTTTACCTGATAGTTTCTTTGAGATAAGAGAAACCACCGGTACCACCAGTGCCTGGTTTTCGACCAATTTGACGTTGAACCAAAACAACATGTTTATCTACGAACAGAAAAATATTCATCATATATTTACAATAAACATAAGATTGCTCTGCATACAACGCCAACTTGCCATCAAACCATCGATATCCATAAGCAAACTAAGCATTTCATATGCTTGTTGAAAGCACGGTTCTTGGTGATAATGTGAAATCATTAATGCAGATAACATTGCTTTTTGGCTAATTCGACGTTCATTGTTGTCTAAAAGTTTTCGGTATTCATTTGGATCTGTCATCTTCTTAAATTGTTCATTTGTCGTGTTTGCATTTCCTTCGGCGGCTTCCGCATCAGTACCATTCTATTCATTACAAAGAAAAAACAAAATATTTATTTGTGTATTACCTCTTTGAAGCATAATTTTATTTCATTATAGTAGTTTCATGCATACCCGAATTTTTTCTTCCTTTTCATGCTCGATCATATTTTGTATTGCTGATTTAAATACATCATTAAAGTCGAATGATGTATTGTCATAGATTTTTTCTAGCCATCGCTAAGTAATACAGAATAATATTTATTTAAGTTACTTTGAAGAATAAAAATCTTATGAATTACTTCAACATGACGTAATAATGGCAGTTCTCGTACAGCTGATTCAAGTTCATTAGCTTGTTCACCTTTGAACATTGTTCGAATAAAATAGTTCGTTTTATATGAACTTCGAAATGCATCAGTTAAGCCGAGTTTCATTTCAATGATGCGAAATTGTAAACTTTGAAAACCACTTGCTGGAGTAATAAATTCTCGGAATTCGAGAAATTCCATTGGTGTCATTGATTCAAGTAATTGTAACTGATCGATTAGCATGTTCCATATTGTTGCTGTACGTTTTAAACGTAAGTTAATGTTAAAAAGAAAAGGTATCGCATCATCATTTTGGTCGAAAATATGTCGAACTGAATCAATTTCAAATAAAATTTGTTTGAACCAAAGTTCGAAAACTAAAGAAAGTATTAATCGATTAATTATAAAGCTTTATTTTAAATTACCTTGATGAATCAAAATAAAAAAATGTTCATCGTGTACAGGCGGAGTGCTATTGTCCGATCGATTCGTATGACTAAGACACTTAAGTGCAGACAATAGTATATTTGTGCGCAAGTATGTCGAATAGTTTAATGGTTGCTGAACGATTTCATCATGACTACCGTTGCCATTTTGGGTTGTTGTATGAATTGGTGATTCACCAGTTAAATCGTTATCACTGGAATCATTCGGGATATCGTCAAAAGTCGGTTGCATGAAAGGGCAAGACATAGTGGTTGCTGTTTTATCTAAAAATGTTCAAAAATTAATAAACATTTTATGGAACAAGTATCTTTCTGATCAGTGAAAGTCGCTAATTTGACTTCGTGTTGGATCGAAATCACACATTATAGTCCAAAGGTGAATTTCTACTAAAATAAGATCTATAGAAGCAATCTATTTTCGCAATCACTCCTAACAATTTCATAGATGACAGAAAAGCAACTGTAGAATCTATGAAATCATTTTGTTTGAAATAAAACGATTTCCAAGATATAACTATTGAGATCGTTGGTAAGCATAGAAGTATCTTGAAACTTCTTTGCAGTTGGCATTGCACATGTATCAGATGAATATGAAGAGAATGTTAGCTAAAATACATGGTGAAGGTTCAGAAAACTATATGAGAAAGTTATTTCTATAGAAGCTTACAAAACACAATAATATGGGATAAGTATAAAAAAAAGATATATATACATTTATCAAAGCTGTTGTGTCATATGATGGAAAAATTCCTTTTATTTGAGCGTGTAATAAACGATTACTAATCATGATTGCAAATAAAAATATGCTACTTCCGATCGTCAGTTCTGCTCTTTAGAACCAATGAAAGGAGAAGAATTTGAATCATAAAAGAAGGAGTCCAGTTAAAATTGCGTTTTTTCTTGAATGAATAATCAACACAGCAGGAAAAAACTGTGCTGAAAAATGTTAATGGCAACATATATGGCATGAAGGGAAAAGAAAGATGAAAAAGAATCACGTCGACTTTAATTAGTCAATGCATAGGTGCTATCGTGAAAGTAATAGTTGGGAAGAACTTCATTTTCTCAATAGGCTTGAGTCATCATATTGCTCATGACTGACAAAACAATGAACCACCTATATATTCAAGATGAATATTGACAATTTCTTTACTTTTACTTCCTTAAAATCGCAACAATAAGCATCAAAATAGTTGCCATCAAGTAAGTAGGAGAAAAAAACTGATTATCATCAATTATTGAATATGTAGATAGTGCAGAATGAGTGGACAAGCAAATTTAAATATGAATGGCAAAGAAAATGACGAGAAAATTCAAGAGGACATCAGTACCGATGAAGATATTGTGAATCCATGGACAGTAAAAGCTGAATCAATGACGGGAATTGATTATGATAAAATAATTGGTAAGTAAGATGCATGAATACTGAAACTGTTTGAACGTAATTATTCATTTGTTTTTTAACAGAGCTAAATCAATTTATCTGTTATCATTCTCTTTCTTATAAAAAATGAGATTGATCACGATGCATTTGAAATTTTTGTGATTTGATTCGTGTGCTCGAAATCTTTTCATATGAATGACTTTTGAATCTACTTTTTCTTGTAACATGAAATCAAAAGTAGTTCCAAAGTAATCTAAGAACTTGAAAAGAATGCAAATTCAAGAAAGAAATTAAATTGTTTTAGTAGAGAAATTATTCGAAAAGAAAAATTTTCTTTTTCTTCCTAATTTCAGTTCGATTCGGCTCATCGCCTCTAACCGATGACTTGGTAGAAAAAATGCAAAAGCTGATTGGTCGTCCGGTACATCATTTCATTCGGCGTCGAATTTTCTTTTCTCATCGGTAAATATTGATTTATTCAGTAGGTATATCAAATTTAGTTTTATTTCACTATTTTTAGAGAATTAGAAACAATATTGAATGCTTATGAACAGCAGAAACCTTTCTATTTATATACTGGACGTGGTCCATCATCAGAAGCTATGCATTTAGGGCATTTAATTCCATTTATGATGACCAAGTAAGAAAAATAAAATATGAAAGAAATTTATTCTAATTTTGAATTTAATTCAGATGGTTACAAGATGTATTTAATGTTCCATTAGTCATTCAAATGACAGATGATGAAAAGTTTCTTTGGAAAGATTTAACACCAGAAGAGACTAATCGATTAGCACACGAAAATGCAAAAGATATCATTGCTTGTGGTTTTGATGTTGAAAAAACATTCATCTTTAGTGATTTTGAATACATTGCGTACGTAGAAATTCTTCATTCTTTTTTATTTTTATCGGCATTTAATTACTTATATTTTTGTTGTTCTAGTCAATGTTCTAATTTTTACAAGAACATTTGTCGAATTCAAAAATGTGTCACATACAATCAAGTCAAAGGTATAGATATGCTTAACTCTTATTTTCCAGTCAATTTTCTTTCGTATCAGTAAAATTCTAACATGGGAAATAATGAAATATTACTATAGAGGAGGATTTTGCAGGATTTGTTATTCTATGAGTTTAAATAAATTTTATACAATTTATTATTATTTTTTTAAAATAGCCATATTCGGTCTAAGCGATAGTGATTCAATTGGAAAAATTGGTTTTCCTGCCATTCAAGCTGCTCCCGCTGTAAGTTCTTCGTTTCCATTCATATTCAAAGAAAGTGGTAAAGAAGAATTGCGATGTCTCATTCCATGTGCCATTGATCAGGTTGATACAATTTCTTTTTCTCTTGACTTTGAAAAATTTTGTCTTATGGTAATAGGATCCTTTCTTTCGAATGACACGCGATGTTGCACCTCGGCTCAATTTTCCGAAATGTGCTTTACTTCATTCAATCTTTTTTCCTGCTTTACAAGGTGCCCAATCAAAAATGAGTGCATCTGATGCTAACTCTTCAATTTTTCTTACTGATACAGCTGCTGAAATCGAATACAAAGTAAAGGAAAAAAATGTTTTAATTACATATTAATCATTTTCGTTTCAGATTAATCATCATGCATACAGCGGCGGAGGTAAAACATTGAAAGAACATCGACAAACAGGTGGTAATTGTGACATTGATGTTTCTTATCAATATCTCAAGTTTTTTATGGAAGACGATGAAAAACTGAAAGAGTTGAGAAATGTAAGTGTGAAGGATTAGTTTATTTGAAACAATTTCCTTTCTTTTTTTTTTTGTAGAGCTATTCATCGGGTGATTTATTAACAGGTGATTTAAAAAAAGAATTGGTTATTGTATTGCAAAAATTGATTGCCGAACATCAACAACGACGAAAAGAAATAACTGATGAACAAGTTCAACAATTCATGACACCTAGACCATTAAAATTTGGATAATCTGATGTTCATCATATTGATTTTTTTGTCATAATCTAGACATATATATTGTTTTTTTTTTGAATCAATGAAAAGATCTTAAGAGAGAGTTCATGATAGGACCATCCGTCGACATCGGTAAAATTTAGATTTCTCATATGATAGCCCTTTCTGACTTATCCATGAGAAATTGTACGACGTACAAGTGACCCACGTGTAAACACGATCGAAAAAAGCTTTTTTCTATGATGCTCTTAATATTTTGAATTTGTCTCTGCAGTAATTCATTAGTTCGATTTCGACGACACCTCCAAAGATGTAGAAATGTCTTCTCTACAAAACTAACTAGCTGAATTATGCCTGAAGTACATTGTACTAATCTATAATGTCAATATATCATCAGAATTGTTGCTGAAAAAAGAAACAACGACTTTCTCGTGTTTTATCTCGATAATCGACATGAATGATTCTGTCCAAAAATATTTTTTATATTTTCTGAAAGCTCTTAAAATTCTGCATCGTGTAAACTATGACTCAAATGGTTTGAATTCTGACAGAGAAAGTTAGTCATTGCCATAAGTGTTAACAGATCATGGTTATTTTTACTTATTTGCTCAGTTCTCGCCTCCTGTACATTGTAGATGTAGCCGAATCAAAAAGATGACCTGAGATTCGTAATCAGCGTCACAAACTTTGTCGACTAGACTGTTCTCAAAATACTTTCAAGCGTAACATATATCACTTGCTTGGTCGAACACTGAGGACCGAGGTGAATATACACTAGCGGAATTCGTACTATTTGAAAAATATAAGAAAACTGGCACCTATTATACATGGATAGACAAATACTAAATTCCACTATCTCGCTGCATTATAAATTCACTCGTGTATCATATTTTCATAGTAATGACACAATAAATATGGTGAAGGGGTTACTAGAATTAATACATACACTAATTTGAAGTTCTATACCAATGCCAAATAAATTCAAATAATTACCGTTTCATTTCACTCTACATAGAAAACAGTGACTAACAAAATTGAATAAAAATATCCATGTGATTAAGAATACTTTTGATATAAAAACATATCTAACTCATGCGTTTATACCGTCACGTTAATAGTTTAGATCAGATTTTCTCTATTGCTTGGTTGTATATGTTACAGGGGAGATTGAAATGCAGGGCTATTTAAAATAGCCCTTAGAGGAAATTGAAATTTTAATCTCGCCTAGGGCAAATTAAAATTTTGTTTTTTTTGAGTTCAATTTATGAGAAAAAGTAAAGATTTTGGCTTCAAAACGTACTACATTCGCACTTACATTAACAGTGGCATCTAATTATCAAGTTCCATCACATCAGTCTTTTCCAAATACCTGAATTCGCGCAAAAGACACTCATACATATCGAACTTGAATTCAACTGAAACTTCAAGTTTCAAGGGTGTGGGTGCCGGGGAAGGGAGATACACTTGTCTACACACACATATGTACCCTTAATGTGGGTGCCGGGGAAGCAGTAGTGTCAGAGCAATAACGTCAAACCTGAAACTTGAAACTTGAAGTTTCAGTTGAATTCAAGTTTCAAGTTTGACACTACTGTGTACATGTAGGTGTGGGTGTAGGTGCGTGTATGGGTGCTAGTATTAGTGTGGGTATGGATGTAGCGTGTACATGTAGGTGTGGGTGTAGGTACGTGTATGGGTGCTAATATTAGTGTAGGTATGAATGTAGTACGTTTTGAAATCAAAGTCTTTACTTTTTCTCATAAATTGAACCCAAAAAAATCAAAATTTTAATTTGCCCTAGGGGAGATTAAAATTTCAATTTCCCCTAAGGGCTATTTTAAGTAGCCCTGCATTTCAATCTCCCCTGTAACATATATATATATATAGGAAACGACATGTGTATCGCATTGACGTCCAGTATGTGAAATGATACCGATCCCATTTGTTCTGCATTTATAGATTTCACTATACCATTTTCTTCTTACCATTAGTGACTCAATATCCGATGTTTTTAAAAACTGAACACGTCACAAGAGAAGATACGCATAATATTTTCTCTATGTGCTTTTTTGTATTTATGATATTAGCATTTGTTCGGATATCTGGAAAAAACCAAGCATTCATGCTCCATTCGAAAAGCCCCATCATTATATGACCTTCAGTTTTCAAGTAATAAAAATTCTTGTCGTATCTATCTTTTGTGAAACACGATCTGAAAGGAGTGTGGAAGTATATAGGGTAGAAATTTGGACCCACACCCGGCCCCCCTACAGACAGGGACAGAGAAATTAATTAATTAGTTAGCTAATTAATTAATTAATTAATTAATTTGTCTGTCCCGGTCTGTGATGGTTTCTAGGGACTCCATACATCATAATACAGACTGTAATAGAGAAGCTCCACAGATCACCAGTGACAGTAATAGACGAATTCCAGAAAAGAAGTTTCATCGTGTTTCACACTTTTAATCCCAAAGGGATTGCGCTAACAGCGTTTTTCAAGTTGATCTGGCTTTAAAACTTTAGCATATTTAATAGCTAAATTGTTTCATTGTTTCTGATCATGATCGAACAATAAAACGAGTTTTTCCCCCTCTAGATCGTTATATGAGAAATAAGTAAATAACAAATGAATACGATGCAAAAGTTCATCTCTTTGATTATAGATCTTTAAAAACTTTTGCTTAAGACTTGCTCATTTTTTTAGATAAGTACCAAGTTCACAGCTTTAACTCTGAATGTTTATAATAGAGAGTATGGATTTGTTTGAGAAGAACATTTGAAATCTTCAGAAAAGTCATTTTCTTCACACTCATTTTGTGAAATAGCAACCATCGATAATATTCTCATGAGTTTGTTTCTATACAATTTTCTCTTAACAACCTAAAGCAAACCAATAGTCTGCATTTTTATCTACTCTCTCAGGTCTACTGCTGTTTTCGCCCTCCATACAAAACGATTCTACGAAAGTGCAGTCTTTTGTGAGCAAAAGCATAAACAAGTTTATTGCCATCAAAACTATCAAATTTCATGAATATAACTGTGTCCGAGATCAAACGCACATGATTAATTCAATCAATTTATCAACCCTGACATCAAAATGGGTTTCATTATAAAAAAAAATGAGTATACTATATAGTTTTATTGCATTGATGATTCATTATGTGTATCATAACACAATTCTCTTTCCTGACTAATAGCGAAATCGAGTGCTGCTATTTGTGTGATCACACTCATGCACCTAACATTTGAAAGAGAGTATCGAGTAAAAAATCACAACACTGTAGTGCTAAGTTTAAGACTCACATATTTTAATCGATTTTTATTTATTGCTCAAAAGCTATCAAAACACGTAAAACGAAATGCAAAGATATACAGTTACTTCTGTTTTATTGCCCACGTCTAACAGCATTAAGAAATTAGAATAGTACATTTTTTTGTTGAGTTGTTGTCATGCGCAAACATGACAAGTACAAGCAGCGAGTCAGAAACATCAATAACTATGCATTCATTAGTGTTCCACTAGCCATTATATATATATATATATATATAAATGGTGCATAGAAGGATAAAAGTCAGTTACTCACACATTACAACTGAAATAAAAGACGAAAGTTTTCACATAAGAATATACTATCATGAGAACATTGGATTTTGGACGAGTGATGGCTAAACTCAAGCGCCGGTGGCGTGTATTAACTATCGTGCTCGCTCCACTTATATTGCTTCCACTTCCTCTTATTTCCAGAACTATTGTAAATATTGAATATCTGTTTTCAAAGAGATAGTATTATAATCATTGTTGTTGTTTTTTCTAGGAAGCAAGATGCGCTTATATTGTGGTGCTTCTTACCGTTTATTATGTTTCCGAAGCAATACCCTATGCAGTAACGTCATTGTTACCACTTGCATTCTTCCCTATGGCTGGTATTGTACCAGGTGAAACAATCTGCTTGAACTATTTCAAAGTGAGCGAATTATTAAGCTATTTTTCAATTAAAAACAAAATCTTTAAAATCTTTTGTTCAAGGATATCACAACGTTATTTGTTGGCAGTATGATCTTAGCTTGTACAATGGAACATGTGCAACTTCATCGACGATTAGCCTTATTTGTTCTGAGCATTGTTGGCTCATCGACGAAATGGTTAGCAAGCTATTTGTTTGAATGTGTTAAGTAGAAATTTGGTCCTTTACAATAGGAGTATGGCAGGCTTGATGTGTGTTACAGCTTTTCTCAGTATGTGGATTAGTAATTCGGCTGCTACTAGTATTATGATACCAGCAGCAGTTGCTATTATTGATGAAGTTGAAAATTATCACAAAAATATACAACAGCAACAGCAAACACCAGAAGTCAAACGACCACCCGGAGATACGACAGCAGAAGATGAAATAGGCAATGAATCTTCTTCATTTCAACTATTACTAGATTAATTGTTTTATCTTATATTTAGGTATTTCTAGGATCAAAACAATCATGCTAGAAGAACACACAGAGCAATCACCTTCACAGAATAATGTTTCTATAAGCCACAGCGATTGTATGATTGAGTAAGTACTTTTTCGAATTCCTTGAAATGTAGGATCCAATCTACTATATTTAATTCATATAATCATTTGCTCGTAGGTATAACCCACCTGGCAATCAATCAGTAGTTGAATTAGAGGCACCAACCAATAATTCACTCATAACTCAAGTCGACTATCGACAACTCAAAAGTGGTACGAAACTAAACCACCAATCTTTCGTAATGAATAGATACATATTATAATTTCTCGATCTGTTTCAGGTTTTCTTATTTCTGTGGCTTACAGCTCAGGTATCGGCGGTCTCGTAACACTTGTAGGAACTGGAACAAATATTTTCACCAAGGGATTCGTGGATCAGTGAGTACAATTCATTAATGTAGAATTATTGTCTTAATCATTTTCTTCTTCTCAACTGATATAGATACTACGCAACCGGGAAACATGCTTTTAAAATTACATTCTCGAACTTTATGCTATTTGGTTTACCACTCGGTGTTATTATGCTGGTACTCTGTTGGTTATGGCTACAAATTTTGTACAACCGAAAAGAGTGAGTTTCCAATCGAACGTTGCTATTAATATTCTCATTTTTATATGCAAATTTTAGATTCTTTCATTGCAAGAAGGATGAAAATGCTCGTGACTCACAGAGGGATCTGAATGCTATTCTTAAAAAACAGTACGACAAATTAGGTCCATACAGTTGGCGCGAACGGGTTATTACTATTCTTTTCATCGTCTTGGTCGTTCTCTGGGTGACACGCGACTTTTCAAGTACTCCTGGATGGCAAATCATATTTAGAAAAAAGTAAGTCTAGATTTTCGCTGCAAAACAAAAACTCCTGTTATTGTTTCAGTTACGTTACAGATGGCACAACTGCTATACTCTTTGGTACGTTGCCGCTGATTTTACCAGATCAAAATCCATTCCAAAGTATTTAAAAGATCATTTTTGATATTGACAGCCATTTACTTTGATTAGGTGACTGGAAATACCAGCCGATTATTCAATGGAATCAGCTGATGAAAACATTTCCTTGGGGTGTCTTCATGTTGCAAGGTGCGGGGTTGGCTATTGCAGATGGATTTAAGGTCTAATTTCATAAAAATAAAATATGTTTACTGCATGTTTTTACGTTTATAGGCATCAGACCTATCAACAACTATTGCAACTATTATGCATTTTATTGTTGGAGCACCTAAAACAATCATAATTTTGGTTGTCATAATCATTAGTGCAGCGTTTACAGAATTTACAAGCAATATTGCATGTGCTAGCATTTTATTTCCTATTCTCGATAGCATAGTAGGAAGATTTGTTTTCGTCTATCATTTGATATTTATTGTTCTTCTTCTATCATTTAGGCGCACACGGCTAACATGCACGCAGCTTATCTTATTATGGCATCATGTATGGGCGTATCACTTTCATTCATGTTACCCATCGGTAAGCTATTCGTTTTCATTTTACTTTCAACTCAAAAAACGAACCATTGTCTCTAGCTACTCCACCAAATGCCATGATATTCTCTAGTGGCCATGTTAGAATGATGGATATGATCAAAGCAGGCATCGGTATGAAAATTATTGGTATTTGTGTTGTTCTAGTTGCAACGATCACTCTTGTTGGACCTATCTTCCATGTTAATCTGCTAGTATCACATCAAAATTTCACCACGATGACTAATAGTTCCATCGGCTAATGACAAAGAAAATGCATTCAGATTTTTTTTAATCTCTGGCATAAAATGTCGCATAGGTTTCTACTATTTATTTTTTAATTACTGTACACATTGTTGAATATATACTGAATGATTATCAATAAAATAAGCTTCTAGGAGGATACAAAACATGTACACGAAGCGATAGAAAAATTAAATTCAACATGAGATACGTTGTCCATAGACACTACCTTCATGATTTACTCTCACATATAACCTGTGTCGGTATAGTTGAGAATTCTGATTTTGTTTACGCTTTCACATTCAGACGCGTACACCGACATTACATTATGATAGCTCTAGATGTAATTCTATTATATTTCGCCTCAATCACATTTAATCTCATCGTTTTACTAAGAAAATATCTATAATCATTCATGCATATGTATAACACATGTATTTGCTGTTGCGTGTCTTGCGTTTTCATAGTCCAAAGAAAAGCAATGAGAAATGAATCGATCTAATTGTTTACTTATACAGTTGTATCGAGATTAGTATTCTGTTTTACACTATAAAGTACATTTCTATTCAAAAAATCTAATACAATAGCCTAAACAGAAATGATTATCATGAAACTAATCAAAGAGTTCCGGACAAACATCCAAAGATACATATTTTTTGGAATGTTTCTACGGTAAACATCGAAAATGTAACTGGTAATCATAGAATGCCTAGAAGAAGATTGCACAAGGCTCTCTACAATTAATTAATATAATTGGCGGGTGATATTACGGATTCAAAAATCGTGTATCAATCAAGTATCCTAATAGTTCTAATTTTGTCAAATGAGTCTTCGTCGACAATCTAGATTTAATACCAATACTGAATGACTTGATGTAGACGAATGATCAGAGAAAAAAAATTGTATCTAAATATGAATACCCGATTCAAAAAGAAGAATCATCATGTCTCCAAATACTAATGAAATTGAGCAATGTTTAACGCAAATTGATATGCGCTATAAAATAAGCACTTCAATTGATTACAATCGATTTTATTTTATATTTCTGAATTGTAAATGGACAATGCATATTACAGATGAAACATGATTGGGAAGCAATGGCATGAGCTGAAACGAGTGTTCACGTTACATATCATATTTCATGTCTAAACCAATAATCTCAAGTAAAAAAGAAAGCAATTAGAGAAATCAGAAAATATTAGCTCAGCCACAATTAAAGTCATTGACAAGTATTTAAAATAATTCCTATACTGTTGCTACCATAGTTGGCAATAGCAATATCCAAACGATTATCGCCAACGACGACTGAATATAGTCAAGATCCTGCACTAAAAATCATTTGCGCTGCAAAATTACCATTCCCGTCTCCAATCATTAGACCGGCGCTACTAGCACCATTGTGGCCAACTAAAATATCAAGGTTATTATCATTATTCAAATCACCAGTGGCGATCGAATAAAGATTAGCGCCAGTTGACAAAGATATTTTTGTGTCCAAAGTTCCATTGTATTAGTCAAGAAATAAACTGACGTCGTTACGAAACCAATTACCGATCATAATATCAAGGTTTTGATCACCATTGGCGCCGCCAATCGTGATCGGGTTCTGACGCTTTTATTGAAATCAGACATAGTCACCGATGATGGGTTAGTTCCAGTTGCAAAGATTGTTTGTGCGTAAAAACTGCCATTACCATACTCAAGAAGTGTACTTACATTTTTAGCATTTACGATTGACAACGGCAATATCTATGAAACTATCATTGTTAAACGCAGCAGAGGTCACTGCAAATGGTGTCGAGTCAGTTTAAAATGTTTTTTTGTGTTACAAAAATTCCCATTACCAAGCTCAAGAAAAACACCTACATTACTTGTTTCACTATTATGAACAACAATATCTAAATGGTCATCATCCAAGTAGACAAACTTTCGAGAAAACACGTTTAGTTTAAACACTCGGTCGGAAGCCGCGATCACGTTCAAAAAGTGAGAATTCTGCGTAAAAGACGCGTTTCTTGCGTTTCGTCAATGCCTCACAATCGCCGTTCCCGACCGAGTGTTCGAACGCGTTTTTTTCAAATGTTGTTCTGCTTGGGTAGGCAGTATGTGTGAAAAAAAAGATGAGAATATTCTCCTTGGTGGAATTGAATATCCTCACCCATACTCAAGTATTCCTTTTAGAAACCCATACAGAATTTTTTAAGGAAGTTATACAATTATTTTTTTCAAATTATGAATGGCTTATATAGCCAAAGGTACTAAGTTCATCGAATGCGCCCACAACACAAATAGTGGGGGGGGGGGGGGGGGTGGCGGGTTTTT